AGGATTCCTCTGGTTATAGTGGTTGCTACACCCCTCTCCTTGGATTCAGTAAACTTGTAGGAATAGCTCACAGGATTCAGGGCACACCTGATGTTTACTAGTTTATTACAAAGTCTACTCATAGAAATGCCCAGGCAAGGTATGGGGGACCCAGAGCTCCTCTGTCCTCTGCAGCTCCACTGTACGTGGACCTCCATGTGCCCAGCTGCCCAGAAACTCCTGCAAACCCTGTCGTTTGGGGTTTTCTAGGTCATCCTGACACAGGTGGTCCTCACAACCTTTTTCTGGATCTGAGAGTCCCAGTGCTCTGGCCCTGTGTTGGTTCTGGTGATACACCCATCCTGAAGCTACCTGCTGACTCTTCACCACACAGAAGACAGTGTGCCTGCAGAGTATAGGGTTTTAGGACTCACATGCTGACATACAGGGTGGAGATGAAGTAATGACATATGCTTCACAGCGTTCACCCTGTCCCTTTAGTTCGCATTTTTATTGTTGTTATGTAAGGTGGAATGATCTCGTCATAGGTTCCAGGACCAGTTTGGTTTCTTGTGAAGTGTGTATGCTTCCTTACTGTTACCAACGTAGGGTTAGGGAGAGTGGTGTTTGGAGGTGCATGTTGCAGGTGCCCAGTTAGCTGTCAGATTCTACTTTTGACACAGGTACCATGCAAAAGTTCTTTTTTCATTTCCCAAATAATCAGTCTTTTGTCTGAACACCCCTGTTTCACTAGTGGTTAAAAGCTTATTCCAATACTTGAGTCTTAGTATTTTGCCTTTCCCTAGCCTGACATTTATCCAGGTAACTGCTGGGCATTTAAAGGCTCCCAGGGGTACCTGGTGGTTCGGCTGTCGATGAAGATCCACCCAACCATGTTTACTGTGGAGCACATACCAAAGACACTGTCGCCGATGGGCAACATCTCCAGTGCCCCCAAGGACTTCGCGGTCTATGTGAGTGCCCCCAGCTCTGGAGACAGCGTGCCTCTCTCCCTTTTGGGAATGTCTGAAACAGTCCAGAGCTAATGGCTTGATCCTGTGTAGTGGGGCAGCTCTCCTCTGCCTGTCCACACACTGAGCGAGCAGACACAGTGCTTAGGGGGACCTTCCAGTACTTCCCTAGGAAGGGCCACTGATGAGCAGTGTTTTAACCAGTGTCCAGTTCCTGTTGTGTGCTGACGTAAGCAGACCAAGGTATATGTGCCTGTGAAGGATGTTCTGACAGTTGTGGTGGAAACAACCAAATGGCAAAAGATAAAGCAAATTTTGTATTCTTTTAAAACATCGAAATGAATATAGAATTTAAAAGAATACACCTCATCCCAGTGCCTAGAGAAAGCCACCATGATGGTTTTGATCCCTCCCCCTTTTTTGACTTCTGAAGATAAAGCTGAGTCAATACTATTTGTAAAACTTTGTTTCCTGCCTTAAAAAATTTTTTTTGGCAGGTGTGGTGCACACACCTGTAAGCCCACCACTTGGGAGGCCAAGGGTGAGGAGTTCAAGGCCAGCCTAGACTACACAGTGAGACCCTGTCTCAGAAAAACCAAAAACAACAACAAAATTTGATGTGGAGGTGCAGTGTGTGCCTGTCTTGAATCTCCTCCCTGGAATTTGTGCCCTCCCCTTCGAGGAGGGAGTTGTGTTTGGTGACATCTCACGGCCCAGAATTTTCTCTGGAGCACTTTTTAACCCAGAAGCCCTTAACCATCACAAAGAAAATGTTAGGGTAGTCTCCTTTATTAGTTCGTGTTTTATTGCGAGTGAGTGTAATCTGAAGTTCATCACCTTAACCACTTCTACTCAGTGGTTTTAGGTGCCATCCTTACCCACATCTGTCTCCAGAGTTCTCTCATCTTCCTTAACAAGCTCCATATCCTTGAAACGCTAGTTCTCAGCCCCCACCTTCTGTCCCTGGTACAGCTGATGTCTTCCAGACTCAGGGATGTCCCCAAGTTCCCCCTGGAGTAGCGAGGGCCATGAGTGAATGTGGTCTGCCCTGGATGCAACCACACCTGGCTGCCTGTGGGTCTTTGTTCCAGCTGCCTTGCATCCCACGTGGAGGAGAGGTCCCCTTGCTCAGGGCAAAGAGACAGGCCTGGTAGCTGCTTTTATTTTCTCTTGACTATGTGACCTTGGTTTCAGGGATTAGAAAATGAGTATCAAGAAGAAGGGCAGCCCCTGGGACAGTTCACATACGACCAGGAAGGGGAGTCACTCCAGATGTTCCAGGCTCTGGTAAGGACCTGACCCACCCCAATTGTGTGTCAGCGGAACAAGCTGTCTAGAGGAGCTGAGGTGGGCCCTTTTCTCTGGGAGCTGTGCAGGTACTGAGTTGTCTGTGGCTAGTCAGCAGTTCTCAGGGTCTCAGCTGAGCTTCCTCTCCTGAACCTTAGGTGTTTAGAATTTTTCAGTGTGGCTGCTTGCTTTCAAATATCCACTAGGGGGAGTGATGGGGCTCTGGGCTGTTGATCTGAAATAAATTGTGATTCTCCCTCAATTTCAGGAAATACCTGACAGAGCTTTCCAGATAGTGGAGCTTCGGATCTTGTCCAACTGGGGACACCCTGAGTACACCTGTCTCTACCGGTTCCGAGTCCATGGCCAGCCTGCCCAGTAGAGAGGCACTCCCGTAGTTTGTACAGTTTGTATATAACAGGACCCCAAAACACTGGAACCCATCAAGGATGTGGGTATGCGTAAAACAGAGGGACACATCAGCCCTTCAATAAATGTGGTATAGAAGCCAGGGATGTTGACTGACATCATCCTTGAAGCCACATCTACACTGAGTCTGCATTGGGGTGTCTGAAACCTCATTTGAATGTATGGTTCTCAGATACTCATTTGTTTGGGGGATTTGTTTTTGAAGATAAAGCTCTTTATATTTGTATTTCCTGACATCTATAGCAGAGTAGATGGAGTTGAGAGGTTTGATGTGTTCTTGAAGCTCTGATGTGGGGCCTTTTCACGGGTTCTAACAGGACCTTGGGAGGGTAGATGTACTCCATCTGTTAAGGCCACACGTGTTTCTTTCAGGGAAAACTGTCACCTAGCTTTCTGTTGGAACTCCTTCCCTTGGTTCATGTCCAGGTCCCTGGTGCCCAGGTTGGTAGGGGGGTGGGCGGGGCTGAGGTGCATCTTGGGCCTGGTTTGAGTATAGTTAGGGTTCATTATGCAGATGCCTCGGAGGGAGGCCGGGGGGATGTCTCCACTGAGGGTCAGTCAATCTGACAAGCACTAAACCTGCTGTGAGGACACAGTGTGGACAGGAACCAGGATACCTAGCCCTCTGGTGTCCCCTAGGGGTGTTCTGGTCCTGCTAACAGGCAACACTAAGGTGCCGACCCTCTGCAGCTGCTTCTGCTCCACGTGGTCGCCAGGGAGCCGTCTTCCCTACAGCAGCACTTCGTGCGGCTCTCGGGGTCTGCCTTCCATCGCTGCCGCCAGCATTCTCACTTGATTCTTGTGAGACTTGTTTTGGTTATAATATTTAATATTTAGACTATTTTATGAGCAGACTTTATAACTGAAATATCTACAAGGCACTTACAGTTGTTTTACCTAAATAATTATTTAAGTCTCATTGGTCAATACACTTGGCATTCCATCACTGCTGTACTTTCAGATAAAGATCACAGTGGTGCTTACTGGTTTCTAGGAAGTTTTGTGTATGGTGCACACTGTCCCAAATGCTTCTGCCATATGAGGCAGTGCTCCTGCTCCTCTGAGGACTGGGACTGAAGCGTGTGCAGTTAGGTCAGATAGGATGTGTACAGACATTTCATATACTACAAGTTGCATATATAAGTCAGAATTTCCTATATAATACTAAATTTGGGGATTGGGTGGAGATATTTTGAATATTTATTTTTAAAAATGCGACATAGGACTTTGTGCAATGTATTTTTGTAAATGCTTTTCAAAATATTTGTCTTTGATAGTGTTTTGTTTGCTGCCACCAAATTGATAAATGCTATTGAGATGTTTAAATAAAGAGTTTTAATTTTTAAAAGTGCATGTGATATTTCAAATGAATAATAAACAGTATATTTTTTTCTCAGTTTTTTTTGTGTCTACCCACTGGGGAGTGGGAAAGGACCAGTAGTCTGCATGCTTTCTGCCAAGTGGGGGTCACTGGCCCTGCCAAGACTAGCAGCCGCGCGTTTCTGGGCAGCTCCTCCTGGTTAGGGAGTATGCTTATAAAAGGGACCTAAGGGTGCATGAGACTCTACCCACACAGCTGGGGGTGTCACTCAGTGATACATGAGCCTGGGTTTCATGGCCAGCACTGCAAAAGAAAGTAAAGCATTCAGTGAGACAGTTGGGAAGAGGACCTGGGTCTTTGGTCTGGGCCTCAGTCACTCAGGTAGATGCTGGTGCCGGTTCCCTGGCAAGCTACCCTGAGGACTGCCCTTGGGGCGTAAGCGTTTATCAAAAAAGGCAGCACATTTACTCCAGTGCGGTACCTTTTTTCCCAAGGATCAGGCGGTACCTTTTTTCCCAAGGATCAGATACAGTCTTGGAAATGAGAAGGTCTCATCTCAATGAAGAACTTTTTTTTTTTCTTTTCTTTTTGAGACAGGGTTTCACTATGGAGTTCAAGCTGGCCTTGAGCTCACTTTGTAGCTCAGGGTGGCCTCGAACTCACAGCAATCCTCCAGCAGTCCTTCCAGGTGCTGAGATCACGGGCATGTGCCATCACGCCTGGCCCAATGAAGAACTTTTAACAGCTCTGATCCCCACTGCATGCGTGGGCATATTGATACAACTGGGTTTGAACACAGGCGTTGAAATTGTATCCATTTCTTTTCTAAGCAATACTAGTTTTCCTGTTTCAGTTACTTACAGTCAGTGGTGGCCAGTGTTAAACAGAACTCCAGAAAGAATTCATAACTCAAGCAGCACTGTATTCTGAGATGAGGCTCCCTGACCGTCCATCCCACCCAAAGCGAATGCTGGATCCAGCGCGATCTGTGCTCTCAGATGGACTGACCTTTGTTAATTCTTTAAATTAAGTTTATTGGTACATTTTAGGTATACATAATGATCACATTGCAGATACTGTTTTGATCACAAGCTGGTGCTCATGAGAATGTTTTGATCACAAGCTGGTGCTTCTCAATCCCTGGGTAGTGGCGTCAGGCTGTGTCACCTGGCAGAGCCACATTATGCAACCTCCCACATTCACAGAACTGAGGAGAGTGTTGTATTTCCTCGTTGGTATGAAGCGAGTTGCATCATAGGTAGCTCTAAACAGGCTCCCGCAGCGCTGCTCTTAAACCCCACTCTGCTGCAGCCACAGTACTTCCACCACACAGCTCCAGCCCGGTCACCCAGGGATCGCGGGGGCTGGCGCAAGAGGGTGGCGGCGTCTTCAGCCCCTAAGAATGGCCCAGGGCCGCGTGCCCGGTCAGGAAACCCCGCCGGAGGAGTCCGGAAGAGCGGCAGGCAGCTCGGACGTCCTAGAAACGATCTTATTACAAAACTATCGAAACGTTTAAATGCCCGTGTCCGACGCAGCTGTCGTACCAACATGTCAGAGGCCACCTGCCATCCCCGGCTGCCCGCCCGCCTGTCTCCCCGTCCCGAGGTCACGTGCCCGCCGCATTGTGGAGTGAGCATCCCGCCCAGGCGCGTGGGCCCGCCCCCAACAACGTGATTACTATTAGGCTCCGCCTAGGGCACGTGGCTCTCCCTCAGCTCCGCCCAAGGATGCGGCCCCGCCCGCTCACACGGTCGCCCGCAGGCTACGCGGCCCTGCCTCTGGTCACGTGCCACTCACCGCCGCCACCACCACCCTCCGCGCGTGCGTAACTCCTCGCGGCCACCGTAGAGGGCGTCCAGAGGCCGCTGGGACGGAAGCCGGGAAGCGCCGCCGACCGCGCCTGCGACAGCGTCAGCTCTGCGCGGAGCGCCGGCCCATGGCGGCGGCGGCGGCGGCGGCGGCGGCGGCGATGGCGGAGCAGGAGGGCGCCCGCAATGGCGCCCGCAACCGGGGCGGCGTCCAGCGCGTAGAGGGCAAGCTACGCGCCAGCGTCGAGAAGGGCGACTACTACGAGGCTCACCAGATGTACCGGACCCTCTTCTTCAGGTGGGCGCGGGCGGCAGCTTACGCCGAGGCCCCGCCCCCTCCGCCGTCGCGCATTGGCCGTGCCGCGGCACCCCGGGAGCTCATTGGCTCGTGCCGCTGCCTGTCGCAGGCGGCCGGAGCGGGGGCGGCAGGCGGTGAAGTGCGGGCCCGGCCTCCTTTCGTGGCCTCCCCTTCACCTCCCGAGCCTCCCTTTCCGCGGGCTTGCCACCTCTGGCCAGGCTTCTTCCTTCCCATCCACTTTTCCCGAGGCCAGCTTCTTTCCTGGCTTCTACTTCCCCGGCTTGGTCTCCAGTCTCCACTTCTCCAGCCCGGCCTCCCTTTTCATGACCTTAGGGTCTCTGGCCGGGCCGTTTCCTTCCCGGCCTTGCTTTCCCTGTGTTCTCCTTCTGGGGCCTGGGCTCCACAGGCCTCCCTTCTCCAGCCCAGACTTCTCTTCCCTGGCACAGTGTCCTGTGGCTTCCCCGTTCTTGGCCTGGCCATCCCTTCCCCAGCCGCCTTCTTCCTTTGCCGCCTCCTCCTTAGCCCAGTCTCGCCTGGCTGGCTCTGCCACCTCTTTCACTGCCCTTCTCTTCCCAGGCCCAGCCTCCATCTTCCTTGGTCTTCGCCTCCCCAGCCCATTCTACCAGCCCTAGTCGGTGTTACCTGCACCTCGTCCTGTGGACATTCAGGTGTTAGTCTCGGGTCACAGGGTCCAGGCATCTGTTTCAGCTGCCAGTGGCCTCAGGGTGAAGGACAGCAGAGGCCCTGGTCACTTGGACTGTTCAGAAAGGCACTGCCCTGTGTCGTTGTCCTGAGTGCAGGACGCCTGCGGGGTTCAGTGCCACAGCTTGTGGGTCCAGCCTTTCCCTCGTTGTTTTTCTCTATTTAGACCCGCTTTTTAAAAATAGACTGTATTTTTTTAGAGCTCTTTTAGATTCACAGCAAAATTGAGCATAAAGTGATTTCCATGTGGCCTGCATGCGCTGCACGGCTTTTCATAGGTCACTGCTACCACAGTGAGACATTCCAGTTACCCATTGCATCACCCAGGGTCCTCCAGCGTGGTGGAACATTTTCCATAGTCACTTCCTTGGGTCTCCTGGCCTGGTGTATTCTGAGAGCAGGACAGAGGTGCAGGGAGGAGTGTCCCATCAGCTGTATAAGCACGAGTCAGATCATCTTGAGTCTCTGCCATTTTCTCTTGGTTTTCAGGGTTGGGGGGAAGGGAAGTCTTTAACATTTGGGATCAGTGGAATTAAGCGTGAGCCCCTGGTAAGGAAGTGAGGGAGTGGGCATAGTAAGAAAGGATGCAGGGTCTGGGCCACGTGTGGGAGTCGCCAGTCTGGAGGACTGTTCACTGTACTTTCCAGAGCACTGCCCTGTGCTGGGGGTTTGCGGGAGGGCTGCAGATCCGAGAGAAAGCCCTCACATCCTGTTTTCAAAGATTGTCCATTTATTCTTAGCTCTCTTGATTTGGCCAGGTTTAGGGCCCCTGGGTTTAGTCACCGACTGTAGGATTAGTTGAGATACTAGATCTGCGCTGATCCCCAGTGGTCTGAACAGCGGTCTTGTTCTGGAATTTTCCGTGTACTAAACTCTGACACTATAAATACAAACCAGTCAGGCTGTATCTGGGTTTATGTGGTTCTGTGAAAGCCTTCTTTCGTGGAAGCTTAGTTAATTGCTTTAGAAAAAGATTTGCTCTTCTATTTAGTTAAAAACTGATTTTTTACTTGTAGTAGAAACAAATCCTTACTGCTGCATAATTAGGACTTAGTTTTAATGGGAGATGAGCTTTCACTGGACATACACTAACCAGAGGCCTGGTCATGAGGGAGCTGTAAGTCTACCTGTTCCAGCAGGAGTGAATCTGAGGTGCCAGTTGCAGGTGTTAACTGAAGCACATCACCTCCCAGCAGCAACCAGTTGTAACTCCAGGCACACTTTGCAGCCCTCAGGATTCGCCCTGGTGTCTGCTATTCTTAGGATTTGTGTATAAATATTTTCCCAGTGATTAATCAACAAAAGTTGGTCTTCCCAAAATAAAGTGTTCCTTGATTTAAATTGGCCCCTTCTGTGACTAGGGTTTTGCTTATTTTAGCATTTGTGACAAGTCCCTTGGTTGAGGGTGTGTTTCAGCACCAGACAGTGCAATGGACAAGTTCTGCCTGCTTCACTGCTTTTGGGCTGCAAGTCCCAAAGCAGCTGTCATTTCACTGTTCCACCCAAGAGGCCAAGCAGGTGAGCATAACCTTAACCGTAGCCCATCTTTTGGGTGAGTTCCACATGGGCCACAATCTGGCTTGGGGCACACCATAGTCTTGACCAGTCAGAATCCCCAAATTACACTCATAGTATCTTTCTCTCAGTAAATGTATATTTGCGTGTTTATGTTTTAGTGTTTATATAAAGGGTATGATTCAAGCAGCACTGACATGTGAATGCACTCATAAAACTATCAGGATATAGGAAGTTTCTTGTTCTTCCCCACCCTCTCCTGGCAGTTTCTGCCTGCTGTGGTCACCATAGGTTAAGGCTGTGTCTTCTAGAGACTTGAGCCGTGTGCATATAAGTTGTTTCTGTGGCTGTGTTACATTCCCTGGCGTATTGTGGTACTGTTTTAATTCATTTCTAGTCCACAGCAGTGTAAGGTAAAAGAGGGTAAGCAGTGGGGCAACCCAGCAGATCACTCTCTGGGTATGAGCAGCTGAAGCTGGGCTATGCTCTTGGTGTACCTGACCACCTTGGAGGTTGCTCCACTGTGTCTGTGGTGCATGTGGTGGTAGGTCTCCTTTTCTCTAGCCTTTTGTCTGCCAGGAGAACGAGGGGGTCTGTTTTATAGGCCTGTTGGACTGTTAGTACCTGGCATAGCTAGAATAATCTGTGGTTTTGGGAACACCTTCTCCAGAGTGGCCTCAGTGCCACCATCCAGGCTTCCAGGGACCTTCATTTACCTGCGGTGTTTGCACAGTTGCGTTGAGGATGTTGATGTAGAGAAGCCAGCCTAGGATGCAGTGACTCAAGGTATCAGGCCTGGCCTGTGTGGGTCCAGCCTCCCTGGGGCTTCTGCCCTATCACTGAGCCACTTGGCAAGTGGGTCACCCCACTGTGATTCTTCCTGAGAATGGTGTAAACTCTTGGTTATAGCCTATGTCCTTATTTTGCCTCTTGACTCACAAAAAGGAACTTTTAAAACACATTCCTCACTCATTGCAGCCCTGTGCCTGAGGCAGCTGTGCCTGGCAGGCAGGGCCTCAGCCCTTGCAAAAAACAGCATCTGGCCTGGCAGCATGTACTTGCGGCCCTGCATTGGAGCCTAGCTGTGTTGCACCTCACAGTCATTCTGTGTTACAGGAAGTTGGTTGTAGAACATCCTTGTCACTGGATGCTGAATACTCAGTACTGACCTCAGTACTACACACTCAGTCTCCAGTTGAGTCACCTTAGACCATCTCCCATCACTGCCCAGGGCTCAACCTGTTGACACTGTGCTGCTTTCATGTCTAGTGCTGATGCTTGATTTCTATGTTCTGCTAGCTTACTTGCTGTGTCATTTATTTTTTTAATTTAGTTACTATTATTTGAGTCATGGTCTCACTATGTAGCTCAGGCTGGTCCTGAACTCCCCGTGTAGCCCAGGCTTCCCTCAAAGTTTCGATAATCCTACTTCACCATCCTGAGTGCTGGGATTACAGGTTTGCACAACCATGCCCAGCTCTTCTTGCTCCTTCAGAAAGACCAAAATAAATATTTGCACAGACACATTGCTCTGTGGATAAGACATAGCTGCCGTAAGTCCATTTTTGGCTGACAGCACCAAGATACACCAGTTCGACACATCTTTTGCCAGCTGGTGCCAAGTCCAATTTCAGCGTGTGAAAGGTGTTTTCAGATGTCTGCACAGGGTCCAGTGTGGAGGGCAGGCCATGGACAGATTGGCGTCTGCACAATGGCCAGCATGGTTCAACATGTGAAAGACAGGCTATGTGGATGGACAGGGGTCGGCACAGTGTGACTCAGCATGTGGAGGGGAGGCTATGGTGGAGGAGCTGGGGTTTGTAGTGCATCCAACATGGCTCAACCTGTGGAGGACAGGCCGTGAAGACAGGTTGGGGTCTGTACAGTGTTCAGCATGGCTTATCATGTTGACAGGCCATGTGGATGGATCCAGATCTGCCCTACGTCCAGTATGGCTCAACATGTGGAGGGCAGACCATGTGGATGGGTCAGTGCCTTCAGAGGATCCACCATGGCTCAGCACACAGAGGGCAGGCCGTTTTTTCTTATTGTTGTTTTTTTGAGAGACAAGGTCTCACTCCACAGTTCAGGCTGGCCTTGAACTTACTATGTAGCCCATGCTAGTCTCGAACTCACAGTGATTCTCTCACTTCAGCCTCTTGAGTGCTGGGATTACAGGCATGTGCCACCATGCCCGGTGGGCAGGTCGTTTTGATGTCTAAGAAGGTCCCTTCCTCTCAGCTCTCCCTTGGCCTGGAAGACACCATCCTGCTTAATCACCTAGAACTGAAATTCCCTCCCAGCACCTAGAGCTCTGATGGGAAAAGTTCATTTTCGTCATTGCCTGAGTTGTTTGGCTTGTACAAGCTTGTCTTGATCTGGCATAGGTGATTTCCGTAAGGTAGGGACCAACATGTGGGAAGTTGTGATGAAGAGTGCTGGCTGCAGGACTGTGGGCTTTGGGTCCTGACAGTGGGCTGGACTGTCCCAGGCCAGGCCAGGCCGAAGGCATACTGTTTTGATTCCTGGCCCTAGCCTGGGAGGCGGTTTCCATATCCCAGGAAATCTGTTCATCTGTTTTAAGAATCAATTTTTCTTTGTCTGAAATTCTAAGAGGTTGTCTCTCACTAAGCCTAGGCGAGTCTAGATCTCTTTGGGTGTTGTACTTGAGCAAAACCAAACCAGTGATTGTCCCTGGGCATAAATGCATGTGGTTCTGTGTTCAAAAGGGTGCAAGTGAAGTGGTGTCCCTCTGAGTGAAAGATGTGCTTTTCCAGCATAGCCAGAGGCAGTGCCCAACACCAGCTCCTCTTCAAGTCAGGTGCCAGCCCGAGGGGCTGTCCCTTGGTGTCTGACCACCCTTGAGAGCAGACTGACAGGACTGGAGGAGCCTGTGACTTGCAGGTTGACTGCTGGCATTCTTCTCTACATGTAGGCTTTTGTCAGCTGGCCCCACTCTAGCAGTCACAACATGGGGTCCCCTGTTCAGGGCCTGTGTCCCCTGAGTGATGGAACGTTGTCATTGTAGGCCTTTGCTGCATGTGTCTTGGCATAAGGGCCTGCTGTGTCTGTCCCCTGTGTTACTGCAAGATGCTCTTCTGTAACTGTTCCTGACACAGCTGTTCAAGGAGTCTGGGCTCAGAAGCAGAGACTGCTAGTTGGCATGGTGTTCTCTGATGATGACAAGATGCTGCTGTTGGGTGTGAAAGAGGACATGCTGGGCCTACCTGGCCAAGTGGCCACCATGCTTTGGGTATGCACAGCTGCACCTGCCTCCCGCACTTCTCACAGGCAGTGTTCACACAGCACAGGGAGAGTGTGCATGGGGAGAGATGGGTGTGTTGGTGTGGCTCTGGGGGGCACTGGCTCAGGGGCTGAGCTGAGTGGGATAAGTTGGTAAAGTCACACTTGTCATCGACTCTGTAGGACCTCATTTTGGAGCCCCACTGTCCCTCAGCTCCCAGATGGAGACATCTGCCTCTATTGCTTTCCACAGAGCACCTGCCTGTATGGTCCCCAGATCTCTGCTCCTGAAACCCAGCAGTGGTTCCCAGGAGAGGCTGCCTTTTGGCTCTGAGCCTTTTGGGCACAGGTGGGCCTGAGCCCACCAACAGCAGGACCTTTGTACCCAGAGCCATCTGGAGGCTCCCATAGGGCTGTTGAGGCAGGAGGGGCTGGGCTGAAGGCTGCAGGACAGGCCACTGGGGAAGTTTCTGGCTGTATATCTGGCTTTGGTGAGGGCCTGCCTGGCTAGGTGGTCCGTGTCCCTTGGGAGTGCCTCAGTTTCCACCTTGATGATGAGGCCAAGGTTCCTGGTAGTGCCCACTTGCCCCAGAGTTAATCCCTTCTTGGGTATGTGTCCTGAGCTCCCTGCTTACCCTTTCCCTCTTTGCAGATACATGTCTCAGAGCAAACACGCGGAGGCCCGAGAGCTCATGTACTCAGGAGCATTGCTTTTCTTCAGTCACGGCCAGGTAAGTGCTTCGGCCCTTTCCTCAGGTCCTTCAACTCTGGGAGAGTTAGGGTGGGAGTGACCAAAGAGAGGCCTGGTGCAGGACATCAAGGTGTCCCTGGCTCTGGCCGCAGGTGGCATAGGGTCCTTGAGCCCCTACAGCAGATGCTTTGCTCTCAGGGGCCTGTCACCTGAGCCCTGTAGGGCTAGGGGCCCTTCATGTTCTGTGGCACAGGGCTCCAAGTGTGTATTTTTGGTGGGAAAAGCCCTTCCCATTTGTTTGCTCCTGGGCTGGTCAACAGGTGTGTTCCCAGCTGCTATCTGCAGAATGAGCTTCTGCCAGCTGTGTCCCGAGTGTTCTGAGCAAATCAGGCCTCTGTTTCTGACTGTATGATTCCTGTTTTTGCATGTTTTATAGCAAAACAGTGCAGCAGACCTATCCATGCTGGTCCTGGAATCCCTGGAGAAGGCTGAAGTTGATGTGGCTGATGAGCTGCTGGGTGAGGCCCCACTGCGTGGTGTACAGTCATGCAGGAGCCTCTGCCTGTGACTGTCTTGCAGATCCGGAGTCACCTCACTCCATTTGCTGCCTGTGCTTTGAGTCTCTGGTGCATGGAGCACATGGGCACCAAGGCAGGACCTGCCATACTTTGAGGGTGGGGTGGGGTGAGGTGATGCTGTCCTCTCCTAGCACAGGAGCCTCTGCACTGACAGTAGTTGACCTGCATGCGCTGACACGTATCTGCTGGCTTGCTAGTTGGCAAGGAGGGCTGTCCCATTGAGCAAGCTGCCCAGTAGACGAGGAGGGCCTCCGTTGGCCTCTGCTGCTCTGAACCCCAGCCTGGCAGGGGTTCCCACTGGTTCCTCTGGTGAGAGTCTGTATGTGTGTCTTTCAGAAAACCTGGCTAAAGTGTTCAGTTTGATGGACCCAAATTCTCCGGAGCGAGTGGCATTTGTGTCCAGAGCCCTGAAGTGGTCTAGTGGAGGATCTGGGAAACTGGGCCATCCCCGGCTCCACCAGCTGTTGGCCCTCACGTTGTGGAAAGGTAGGTCTGGAGGTGTGTGGGGATGTCAGGGTCCTTTGCCATCACAGGCCAGCAGCCGTCCTCCTTGGGCTCCCTAAGGCCCCTCTGCATCATCAGGACCCTGCCCAGCTCATGAGTACAGGCTGCCTGTGCTGATGCAGATCAGCTTTCCTCAATGGCTACACCAGACATTTCTGCTGTGGTGTGAAATGGTATAGGTTGCTTACACCCCATGGCCCTCTTGCCCAGCCTAGGCCAGCCCTCTAATAGCATCTTGCTCCAGGTTTTTCCTTGGTACCTCTTTTGCTGATGAAGCATTTGTGGGATCATTCAACCAATAAGATGGGATCGTGGGTGTCCCACTCTGTGGGTAGGGTCAGTGTGCTCCACCGTGAGTCTGCCTGGTGCAGGAAGAAGTGTTAAACAGATACTCATTGTGACTGGAATGACATATTGTTGAGCAGGGTTGAAAGAACTTCTTTCCCAGTGGCCTTCCTGGCACTAGAAGGTTGTTGTACTTGCTCCTCAGCAGGCGTTGGCCTACAGCTGACTACATGGCACAGTGGCACAGAGAGGGAAGGCAGTGGTGACGGGGCAGCAGTGGAGGTACATAGTGGGTCTACAGGTCACTGGTACCTATTGCTCTGGGAGCCCCAGGAATCCTGATGGTGCTGCTGAGGGTGGCTTCCCTCCAGAAATGAGGCAGGCTGGCTACATGACAGCAGCTTCTGCTGGAGCCATCCGTGGTGAGACAGGTGGCTGACCCCTGGATCAGCATCTGCCTGTTCGCCAAAGTCAGCCACCCTGGGGTCCACCAGGCTGACAGTCCTGGTCCCCGGCATACGGCCAGCCCTAGGCATGCAGAGACTTGGCTTGCCCTGCCTGCTGGCTCCCTCAGGTAGGGTCTCTCCCGTGGGGGGAGAAGCCAGCCCTGGAACATAGCAGGTGGAGGAACAGTGCACACTATGGTGGGGTGGAAGTGCTACCCTTCCCTCCATCACAGGCACCTGGTACACTGTTTCAGCCAAAACTACACGAGTGGGAAAAGAACACTGGGTCCTGGGTATAGGGAGGTACTCTGTGTAGGCCCCCCACTTCGCTCCTGGAGAGTGGCTCACACCTGTGTTGGCCTGGGCTCCTGGCCTTCCTGTAGCTCCTCTCAGTTTCCCTAGGGTAGGGGCACATGGCCACCAGGGCCTATGCCTCCCCCAGCTCTGTGAGCCAGTTCCTCAACTTAATCATGTGGCCCTCGGACATCCTGCCTGAGAGTAGGCTGCCAGCTGAGCCAGGACTCCTGGCTGTGAGCACAGGGAGCTCCATAGGCCAGGAGACCCCATGCATTTTGGGCAGGTACAGCCTGTGCAGTGGGAGACCTGCCTGAGACCAGCCAGTGACATGGCTTCCCTTGGGGCAGGGTTGTGCTGTGGGGCATCCTTGGCACTCATAGGAAGGAGGCCACTTGGGTATGCTGCGCCCCCCCCATGGCCCCCGTGGATGCTTCTACTGCCGGGGTGCTCCTGAGACACCAGCCCCTTGAAACTGCCTGGATGAGGCTCTGGCATAGTTACACCCAGGGCTCTTCCTTATGTAGATGCTCAGAGACCAAAAGGTTAATTTTGGGGTGTGCAGGGCAACAAATGACAAGTAAACATCATGATTGCAGAGCATCTAAGTGCCCTTAAGTAGGGGAAGGAGCTCATCCTAGGTTACCGGGGGGAGGGGCCTCCCAGGTCAGTGGGAGGGGGGTTTCGTAGGCAGGGTAGTGCCCTTTGATGCCTAAACATGATGGAGATGCATTCATAGAGCTGTCTGGGTCTGGGGTGGGGAAAGCACCTCCCCAGGAGGAGAGGGTGTAGGATTTGAGGGCTGGTGTGGAGTCTGCACCTGTCTTCCAGTGTTAGAGTTGGAATGACCCTCATGAACGTTTCCTGACTTCAGGACCAGCGGGAGAAATAACCAACCCAGGCTTGTTGTTGTTGCTGTTGAGATTCAGTGGTCTTAGGGTTGGCCTGGGTCTTAGGGTTTTGTGTGAAGTTGCTGTGAAGCTATGGTGTTGTTCAGTTTTGAGTGCAGTTAGTCCTCAACACAGACAGAAGCATCTTTCTGCAGAGTCCCATTGGAGTAATCAGGTCAGTCACGTGTTAGATGTGCCTGGCTGTCCCTCCCGGTTGTGCCCTTAGCATTGGCTAACATGCAGCTTCCCTCAGCTTGCAGAAACGAGGTCTCCAGTGGCTGAGCATTGTCCAGTGTTTGGTCTTTGAGGTCAAGGCAGCTGGTGCTCGGCATGAGCAGTGCGGTGCAGTGATCACCTTATCTGTGTCTTAGCAAAGTGGGGAAGCAATGGGGGAGCATCAGGAAAGGTGGAGCCTTTTGCATCTCTGCAACCTTGTTTTTACCGTGTGTCTGTGTTTGTGTTTCCTTCTCTTCCCTGTGCAGAACAGAACTACTGTGAGTCTCGATATCACTTCCTGCACTCCACAGATGGCGAGGGCTGTGCCAATATGCTGGTAGAATACTCAACCGCCCGGGGCTTCCGCAGCGAGGTGGACATGTTCGTGGCCCAGGCAGTGCTACAGTAGGTTCAGGTTCAGCGTGACTGTGTCGGGCCCGTGCCCTTTAGCAGGCTGCCTGTGCCCTTGTGTGCCATGCTGGGTGGAGAAGTGCAGAGCTCACATGTCTTGTGTTGGTTCACACACTCTTAAGAATGGGGCGCGTGCTTCCCAGGCCGCCTGCCCAGGCCATTCTGTGCAGGATGACGAAGCCTGCACTGTGCACTCTGTAGTCTGCTCTTGCCAGGCTGCCTTGTCACCAACTTCCTTTCTCATAATCTACCTTGAAAGTACTGGAAACACATACCAAGGTGACAGATCTCTCGGGCGTGTCCCCACACAGGTGCCTCCTGGATATTTTTGATATTAGGGGGACAGTTCGCTGGAGAGGCTGACCCTGCCCCCCGCCTTCTAGGTGCATATGTTTCCCTGATCACCTGCGGGTGGTGGGGGGACTTGCTGTGTGAAGGTGCGCCGGTATTGGGGCACAGAGCGCTGTACTTTACTGCACCCAGGGTCACAGAGACCTGCACATCCATGGTGCTGATGTCTGTTGACTTCAGAGAACAGTAGCTGGGTATAGCAGTGCATTCCTGTAATCCTAGCACTCTAGGAGGTTGAGGCAGGAGGATCATAAACCTGAGTCTGAGCCCATCCTGGACAACTATGCAAGACCCTGTCTCAAAATAAGAATGGATTGGGGATGTAGCTCAGTGTGAAGACCCTGAGTTCAGTCACCAGTACTGCCAAAAACCCTCTTAACCTAGGAGACCCTGACCTGGCTTTGCCATATGTAGGGCAGCTATTCCCCCTCTGGGCTGAGCTGGGCACTGGCCGGTCCCCTGTGCTAGTCCCCTGTAGGCAGGTGCCAGCAGGGTTGAGGAAGAGGCTGTGGTCCGGTGTGCTGCTGACCTTCAGCAAACCACATTTCTTTCCCAAGCTGAGTGTTTCTCCTGTGAGATGTAAAGATCATGACCTTGCCGTGCACATGAGGGGCATAGAATACAGGCCTCTTGGACCTGGCAGCCCGATGAGAGCCCTGCTGCCAGGGGCTGCCAGGCTCAAGGGGGCTGCAGAAGGTGTTCTGGCCTACGAAGGTGCTGCTGCTGAGCGAGGCCCTCCATGCCCGCAGGGGCTTGAGGGGTCGGCGTTCATGTGAGCATCGGTATGACCCAAGTCTTTATCAGTATGGCACCCACTGGCGTCTTCTGGTTTCCAGGTTTCTTTGTTTAAAAAATAAAAACAGTGCATTGGTGGTCTTCACAACGTACACGCAGAAGCACCCATCAATCGAGGATGGTCCCCCGTTTGTTCAGCCCCTGCTCAATTTCATCTGGTTCCTGCTGTTGGCTGTGGATGGGTGAGTGTCCATCAGGTGCTGGTTGTGCTGCGGGCGGGCTAGCACAGGTGTCTGGCACTGTTTGCAGTTTGTGTGTGTGTGAGAGAGAGAGTGCAGGAGGGTGAGTGTGGTTCTGCGCTGTTCACAGCACGTCTCTGTCCCCGTCCCATTGCAGTGGCAAGCTGGCAGTGTTCACAGTTCTGTGTGAGCAGTACCAGCCGTCCCTCCGGAGGGACCCGATGTACAACGAGGTGAGGGTTCTCGCTACTGGGCTAGGCGTGGGATAGGGCAGCAGCAGAGAGGAGGGTCCTCAGTTCGCAGGCAGCCCTCCCCAGCCCTTGCAGCAGAGCACTCCACCTCCACTCGCTGACCACTCCTGCCTCTTGCAGTACCTGGACAGGATAGGACAGCTGTTCTTCGGTGTGCCGCCCAAGCAGACGTCTTCCTATGGAGGCTTGCTAGGTAAGCTTGTGGGCCCCCAACCTTGAGGTGGCTCGCTGGGGATTACCCTTAATTGAGTCACCCTTCAGCTGTCCTCTCCTGGGGCCACCTCAGAGGCTAGGTCTCAGCTTTGGTCTGATTTGCTGGGTGCCCCTTGGTAGGCTGAGCACAGGTGTCACCTTCCACCAGTCAGCCGGCGTGGTCCTTGGAGCAAGAACAGCTCATAATCTGTGCATCTTAAGTGTTTCAGTCCATGAGTAGCATTTTGCTGTTCGTGATAGAGCATGGGGCACCATGCAGCATGGCTCTGCACACAGCCGTTGTGCCCTGACAGGCAGTGCTACCCTGTGTCACACATGAAGCTGTCGACCCCATACCTGGAATCTCAGGGTTGGCCAGGTGTGCATTTTTTTTTGTTGTGGGGTGGTGGTTTTGTTGGGTTTTTTGCTTTGTTTTTGAGTGATACTTGGGATTGAACCTAGAGCCTTTGGACTAACTATATCCCCAGTACTTTTTTGGTTTTTGTCTTGAGGTAGCATCTTGCTATATTGTCCAGACCGGTTGAGAACTTGGAATCCTCCTGCCTCAGCTTCCCAGAGTGCTGGGATTACTCTGCTTAGCTCTATGTGCCTTTGTGATCTGGATGCAGAATGCTAGGTTGTACTCCAGGGTGTGGCTTCTGGCCCTTGCAGCTTGTCTCCTCCCCAGCACAGCTGGACTATGTGCATAGGGCGAAGTGCAGATGGGGTGAAGGATTCTGTGTGGCCTGTGGGTGCCTGGAAAGCCACACCACACTCCCTGTATGAGTTCGTATTTACAGGGTATTGCCCCTGGACAGGTGTCCCTCGGTGGCAGTGGCAGTAGTGACAGCTACACAGGGGCAGTGGGAGCAGTGCTGGTGTTTTGTCTGCAGCTTCAGGCAGTGGGGGCTGTGCGTCATCCTGTGCACACCCCAAACCCCTCTGAGACGGTGGGTTCTGCGGGTCGGCTCCTGATCCCTCTCACACTGTGTCCCTCCAGGAAACCTGCTGAGCAGCCTCATGGGCTCCTCAGAGCAGGAGGAGGGGGAGGAGAGCCAAGACGACAGCAGCCCCATCGAGCTGGACTGAGCTGCCTGGCCTGCGTGGAGATGCCCGGTCAGCGCTGCCCAGACGGCTTCAGACTTGAGGCCCAGAAGGCAGCTGCTTATACCTGGCGGCTCCTAGGCTGCAGCTGCCGGGGGCTGCCCTGCAATGTCTGTCCCTATTTATGGAAGGTGGCGGAGTGCTGCACGGTGGCCTGGCGCTGTGTGGCTGGGACGCAACGCGAGGCCTGGGCTCCTGCAGCCAACTGTGTCCCCTCAGCTCGATCCACAATAAAGCACAGGCCCTGGTGCGCCTCCCTCTGCCGTCCTTGTCTCTGGTTCCTTGGGGAGGGCTGTGGGGCCGGTGGCCTGGTGTCCAGCAAAGCCCATGGTGTGGGCCAGGAGGCAGTGGATTCCAGACGTGTGGATTGAGCTGGGCCTTCTGCGGCCCCACAAGTGAGAGCAAGATTCTTGTTTATATTTTTGTTTCGAACATGAGGTCATTTTGTAGTCATGGTGTCCCTCTCCTTGTTGGAACACATGAGCTGTGGGATCATCCCGTGCCTGCGGGTCCTCCAGGCCGTGGGCCCCACAGTGCCCTGTATGGCCAGTGAGGCTCCTCTGCACAAGTCCAGAGCCACAGCCCTGCTGGCCTCTGAGGGCCGCGCTGCTGCCCCCAAAGCGTCATTTCCGAAAGGGGTGCCGCAGAACATGCCCTTGGTGATGCAGTATTTATTTTTATTGGGTGATGGGTTTCTCTAACCTAATGTTTTTGGTGTTAACCAAATAACCAGGAATGAGCAAATCTGTCCTTTATCACTGATAATATTCCACGTTACCAGTATAATTATAAAGGGCAACACTTTATTTTTTCACAATTAAAATAAGAGTTGTAGATTAATACACAATGACCATGCATGGGAAGGAGGGAAATATACGTTATTTACTGTAAAAATGGAATTTAAAGGGAGGCTTGTGTCAATGTTGCGTATAAATAAATCCTTTGTACTGGCCTGTGCAGCACTGGTCCTTTCTGGTGAGCTGGGGCTGGCGTGACCTGGCTGTGGGCCCCGTGTGGGTGGGGGCAGCAGTGGGGCCTTGTCCAGCCCTGCCCTGCCCCGCGGAGGCCAGAGCCTCGGGTTCTGGGTGTGGCTGAGCCCCAGGAGGAAGTGTGTGCTGTGCTGTTGGTTGGGGTCTGTCAGCTTGCACCAGTGTACACACTGTGCCAGTGTCAGGAAGGTGGCAGAAATCACTTGACTGTGATTTTAGAAGTAAACATAGTTTTATTGAAGTCAAACCCATCAGGTAACGTGTGTCACAGCTCCGGAGAGCAGGCCTGTGAGTTGCAGGCCACACTGTCACTGCTGGACTCCTGTGGGGGCAGGGCTTCTCTGGGCCAGTGTCAGAGGGGAGCCCTGAAGGGACTGGGACAGCCGGGGAATAGCCATGGAAGGAGCCAGGCAGGGCCTCAGGCCCAGGCTGGAGCACCCCATTGTGCTGAGATGGTGGTTTCGAATCCATGAATTAGAACCCCCAGTTGATGTGTCCAGGATCAGTTTAGCAGAATTCAAATTTTATGTGCACACAAAGGGTTAACCCTAGGTGAACATGGAAAAGCCAGGGCCCAGTGGGAACCGGCCCGCCTGCGCCACCCGTCTCCAGGTACCATCTCCCACAAACCGCAGGACACATCCAGGTAAAGTGCCAAGTTTATTGTGGCATTGGTGTGCTCGTGACCATGTGGCAGGGAGATGGCATCGTCCTTAGGCCCTGGTCCAGACTGCAGTGTTGTGTCACCGTCCTGAGGGTGTGTGCCCAGCACCTGGTGACACCCTTCGAGGGGCTATGGTTTCCGGCCTCGTCTGAAAAGTTCATCCCCACCCATTACAGGCTTGGTCTGTGGCTTCTTTTAAAAATGTTGTCATGGCCATGTGTGTGCACATGAACACACATGCAGACGCCCTCCCTGCACACCGCGTATCCACAGTGGGGGTGTCTGGGTTGGCCTTGTGGTGGTGTGGGCTCAGGGCTCAGGTCTGCTTTCTGACCTAGGACTCTGCATCTGAGAACCTGGCTGGTGTCTGTAGAAGCTGCAGCCAGTCAACCTAGTAAGCACTGCCCCAGGTGAGCCCCAGCCACTCCCAGGGGTGGGGTGGGGGTTGTTCCTGCCGATGTCACCAGGGCAGCCACCTTGGGGACCCCAGGTGGGATTAGGTGACCTCTGCTTCCCCAGGGCCTGTTTCCTCACTGAGAAGTAGGAGGACACAAGGGCTGAGGAGCCCAAGCTGTCTGCAGGGGCACCTGTGTGCCCCCCCACCCCGAGTCTCACCCCGCTTCTGGGCTCCTGATCCAGGCTGCAGACCTTGCCTGAGACTCCAGAGCTGGAGGGCTTGGAGGGCCTGCCTGGAAAGGAGCACCCCAGGGCCCCTGCCATGGTTCTAGAAATAGGGCCAGTGTGGGCACCAGGGTGGCTAGGGTAGGCACACCCTGGGGGCTGCACCTTCCTCAGGGTTGTAGCTCCTCCTGTATCATGGGCAGGGCCCCCCAGCTCATGCCCAGGAAACGGGTCTGCCATGGCAGTCTATCCCACTCTACCCAGGTGGAAGCTGCCAGCTTGGCCCTTCTCCCCACCTACACACAGAAGGGACCATGCCAGAGCCACACTTTATTCCAGGACGTGACGCGGGCACAGAACACCAGCGCAGGAGAATTCCCCCAGCTCCCCTGGGGCAGGTGAGTCCCCGCTGCACGCTCCACCCTGGCTGTCCTGGGTGACCAGGATGCAGCACGGAAGGAGACCAGGTGAGAAATAAATACAGGGTGGCTTTAACTACTGGCCTGCCAGCAGCAAGCAAGGCCCAGCTGGGGGAGCCAGGCTGCAGGGTCGCCCCGCCCCTGGGGGGCCCGTCATCCTAAAGGGCTCAACGCCCGCAAGGCCAGGGCTGGTGGGCATGGGTCACTGGCCAGGCCAAGCACCGAGCTGGGCGCCCTGGCACAGCCCTGGTTGAGCCCCTGGCCCTCCTGCCCCAGGTCAGGTGCCCAGGAGTGCTGGGACTGCAGCCGGCAGGGCCAGGACCTGTGCATACACATTCCCTGGTGGACCTGTGACCAACACAGCAGGCGCTCAATAAATACTCGTTGAGGTGGGGAGGGGAAGGGAGGCATGCGGCAGACCCTAGTTCCAGCAGCCCAGCTGAGGTCCCATTCCAAGGCGTGGCATAACCTCTGGCTGGGCTGGGAGCACAGAGTTAGTGGGGCCGCCCTGGCTAGGGGGTGGGCAGGGAGGGTTGTAGGTTGGCCAGGCGTGGTCAGCAGCAACGTTGACGGGGCCAGGGTTGCCTGCGATGAGGTTCCGAAGACTCATGTCCTAACGGCCGAAGCTCAAGCCCTACCTGGCCATGCTCTGCTGCTCCAAGGAGCAGGGCTGGCTGGGGCAGCTGGCTACCTCCTTGCCAGCCAGTCATGTGAGTCCAGGGTCCTCAGGCCTTGGATGGCTCTTGCTAGGGCTTATGCTTGAAGTGGGCTTCCACTGCAGATGGCGACAAGTGGCCACCCGTGTCAGGGTGGCCACTCTCCCATGCCACCCACCCAGCCCCCATCCAGCACAGGAGACCAGCCACAGGACGCAGTCATAGCCTCCCCACACCTGCCCTCACCTGCGTACTCCTGGGGCAGCATGGGCCTGTCCACCACCTTTTGGAAGGCCTCCACCCACTCCTTCCGGTCAGCCTCCGTCTCGCAGGTGAACAGGAACTTGCGGTCAGGTGTGACAATGGTGATGCCGTGCGGCCAGTGGTAGCCCTGGGTGGATGGCGGGAGCCCCTCCAGCACTGTGTAGCCGCTCTCCTTGCTGCCAATGAAGACCTCCCCTCGGGCGAAGGCATCCTGCAGGGGCCAGGCTGGAGCTCGGGCTGGGCGCCTCCTGTCCCTGGAGCTCAGCCCACATGAGGAGGAAGGGGGCCCGGCAGGTCTCTAGGGCTGCCTCTCCACGCCCCACTGTCCTCAAAGCTGGGTGCAGCCTGGGGCCAGGCCCCTGGGAGATGAGCCTCCCCCTCAGCAGCGAGAACTGCTGGCCTACCATCCTCCTGCGGGGCGGCGGGCAGACCCTCCTTACCAGGGGGTCTTTGAAGTACATGAGCCTCCTGTCATCCATGGTGAACCAGCGCTTCCGGAAGCCTTCTGTTTGCTGTGGTTTGGAGGGTAGGTGACCAGCTGGCCAGGTGAAGTGGCCCTGCCCAACTGGCCACAGCTCACTGGGAGGCGGAGCCTTCGTTCCCTTGCTCACATCTTCAGGCCTCGCGGCCATGCTCTGCCCGCCACCCAGCCGCACAGCGGGCGTGGCCGGTGCTGTGTGTTGCCCAGGTACAGAACTCATACACCTGCACCTCCCCAGGAGCACCTGCCCCGGCTATGGGCCCAAAGGTCCCTGTGGAGAACGACAGCCAGGGCTGTGGTCCCTGTTGGCCAGGAGCCCATGGGGACCCGCCAGAGCTCGGCCATTCAGTGTGGCAGGTGGGACAGCACGGGTGCTCCAGCCCCTGCCTCACTGCGCCCTGACCCAACCCAGGAACAAGCAGGAAGACAGTGGACCCGACTGTGGCCTAGGCAGCCCCCCGGCCCCCGCAGACCCACCTTGGGCCCTGTCTTCTCCATGTAGCCTTCCTTTAGGTAGTTTCGGGAGAGCTTTGGCACCAGCTGCAGGGACCGAGCGGTCAGACAGTGTTGGGGGTGTCTGGCCTGTCCCCGTGGAAGCTGGGCCCACCCGCCCCCCGCAGGGTCAGGGACACCCACCCCCAACCATGCTCCATCCCTGCCCCTGGCATGGCCACCTGCCTTCCTCCCTCGCCCTGCTGCCCACCTGACTCTCACCCCTGCCCATCCTCTCTGTCCACTGCACTGAAGATGGTCACTTTGGGGGCAGCTGGGGTCACGTGTGTCCTTGGTCACGCCAACCCAGCCTGGGGGCACAAGGGCTGAGGTGTTTCGCACACCCCCACCATGACCTCAGGGCAGCCACTCACGTCCACGTCGCTGGCCCCCGGAAAGGCCACCTGCAGGTAGTGGAAGCGGGCAGCTCGCAGCGCGTTGAACCAGTCCACCATCTCCTGGGGACGGAAGGCTTCGTGAGCCACGGGCCCTGCTGTCCCTCCAGACCCGCCTGGCACGGGGCTGTGGAGGACAGTCTCCCGTGCCCCGCCAGGCTACCACAGCGAGACGGCCCAGGGGCAGGGTAGCCGCAGTGGCCCCGGCCAGCCTTTGTGTGACTGTCATGCTGGTGGGCCGGAGCCCTGGCTGACCCCTTCCCAGACCCAGTGCCCACCTAGGGCTGCCTCTCCTCACAGGTCACAGCCCAGAACCCCTAGGCCCCGTGGAGGGACCCCTGCCCTGCCCCCAGCTCCAGGCTGCCCACCGCTCCCCGGCCTGGCCTCTAGACATTGTGTCTGCAGCACCCGCCCTGCTCTCCTGCAAAGGCCAAACTCCAGACGACCCTGGCCATTACTGTCAGCACCTGAGCTGCCTCCCTGAGCCCTGCCTGGGGTCGCTGCTACCCACCGGCCCTGTGCTGCAGGCCCACCACTGCTTCTCGCCGCCCGTCACCCTCACCTGACTTCAGCTATCACCTCATAGCTCCCTCGCCTTAGAGGACACAGCCCCCTCTGGTCCCTTCCTGCCAAGCCTCAAAGTGTCCAGCTGCACAGGCCAGGTGGCCTAAGCAGCACAGTTTCTGTGTGTGCCACTGCCCCAGCCCCAGTTCACCCAGTGCCCCTTAATCCCGCTTTGAAACCAGGCCCTGACCCCTTGGCCCCAGGCTCTGCACCAGCCGGGAGGAAGGCAGGTGCCCTCCTCACCCTGGATGCGGCCCCCCATCTTTCACTTGGGCGCATGCGCCTGCCTCCCTTACCTAGGTGTCTGGACATCCCCAGCCTGCCCATGGCCTTCTCCAGACCACAGCATGTTGACAAGCTCCCCTGGCCACAGCTGTCCTTAGAGGAAGGGACACAGGCCCCCGCCTGCACAGAGCCTGTACCTCGCAGACACAGCGTTCTACTTGTCCAGGCGGCAGCCTCCCTTAGGAGGTGAAGGCAGAGGCCTCTGGGCGAAGCTGACAGCTACTGACACGGTGGCCCATGGTGTCTGTTCAAGGCCTAACTACCTGGAGACCCAGGGCGGCTGGTGGGAAGGCATGGGATTAGGGGTTCCGGGCAGAAGCGCTGAGCAATACCGATGCCCTCCCCGAGCTCTGGCGTGGGGCTGGTGTCTCGTCTAACCCCAGGACAGCAGGGAAATATCACACAGGGAAGACAGCAGCCCACAGAAACAGAACTAGCAGCTAAGAAACTAAGATGCTTTTCAGAGACAAACCTTCGAAGAACATTAACCATGAAACAAGAGCAGCACTGAAACAGGAAGTACCTGAGCACTGAAAGGACTCTACAAAGGTAAAAGTTCAAGCCCAGTGTGGTGGCGCACGCCTGTGATCCCAGCACTTGGAAGGCTGAAGCAGGAGGATTGCAAGTTCAAGGCCAACCTGGGGTACATAGTGAATTCAAGGCCAGCCTCAACTACCTAATGAGACCCTGTCTCAACAAACAAAAAAATGAACGTAAGAACTGAGAGCACCAATGTCTGATTGCTCGCACTCAGGAGAGAAGAGGGAGCGCATGATCAAGAAAATGCTCCCAGCTGGGCGTGGTGGTGCACGCCTGTAATCGTGGCACTTGGGAGGCTGAGGCAGGAGGACTGCCGTAAAGTTTTGTTGTTTTTTTTTTTTTTTGGTTTTTCTCCGGTACCGGGAACCGAACTCATGACCTTGCGCTTGCCAGGCAGGCGCTTTTGCCGCTGAGCTAAATCCCCAGCCCCCAACTGCCGTAAAGTTTGAGGCCAGGCTGGGCTACATAGTGAGTTCAGGGGCAGCCTGAATTATATAGTGAGACCCTGTCTTAAAATAAACCAAAAGAAAAAAAAAAGAAAGAAGGAAAAAGAAAATGAAAGAAAGAAAGAAAGAAAGAAAGAAAGAAAGAAAATGCTCCTGACTTCAGGAAGGGCCACCCAGCCCAGAGGCCACCAGAACAGACCTGACCGAGCCACATCCTAGAAAACAGCAAAAGCGAGTCTCCCAGAGCTCAGCTGGGAGGGAGAATCAGCCCCGGCCCAGCCCGCCCTGCTGCGCAGGGGGACTGTCAGCTGCGCCTAGGCCCTGGGGGGCAGGCCCCGGGACAGGATGTGCCATGTCCATAGGGGACACGACTGTGACCTGTGACGGCGGCAGACATGTATGTGCATGTGGGATGGGAAGGCGGCCACAATCACAGTCACGTGTTGTGAACATGTGAGGTGTGCGAACCCAGCCAGACCTGGTCCTCCCTGCTGGGCGGGGACGGAAGGTGCTGAAAACTGACAGATACACTGCGGGGCAAGTGTGGGACTGACAGGTGTGGGCTCTGCAGAACCAGAGCAGGAGACTGGGGTGCAGTCAGACACCACTTCCCAGCCTGACAGAATATCCCAGCCCCGCATGCTTCTGATGGATACAGACAGGGGCCCCCGCTGGGCCTGCATCCGCCCAGGACAGGACGGGCCCATCATCTGCAGTGGGGGGGGCTGCCCTCCTGCACCCCAGAGATGTTGGCAGGCGGTCGAGAGGCAGGGCCTGTGTCCCCGCCAGGCCAGCCCTGTACCCATGCCCACCTTCCCGTCCTCGTGGTAGACAAAGATGTTGCGGGTGCTATTGTCCTTCAGGTAGGTGACCTGCAGGCCGTGGGGGTGGCCAATCTTAGCTGGCTGGAAAGTTGCATTCAGGTGCTCGATCTTCATGATGGCCTTGGGCTCCTTGGCCTGCAAAACAGGATAATTCTGAGGCCAGAGGAGTAGGGGTCACTGTCCAGGCCGAGGGCAGAACGCGCACTGTGGCGCCGGCAGCCCCTGGATGCTGGGGACCAGGCGTGATACTCAACCTCCTTGCTGAGTTCGTTTCCTGTAAGCATAGGAAACAGCCCTCCCTCCCTGGGGACGAGGAGACTAAATGGCCCCTTGGGGTAACTGCACCTCTGGGCTCTGTCTCCATCCTGCGCCCTTTGCCCTCTCACGCAGAGCCCTGGTCGTGGCTCTCTGGCCAGTGTGCCGCTTGTGGTGTGACCCTGAGGTCCAACAGGGACACGGAGCCAGGCCCAGAGACAGAGCCCAGCCAATGCAGTCTCCTCGTCCCAGACCACTGCCCCCCAGGCAAGTGGGGGTCCTCTGGGGTCCTGTGAGTCCAGGGGCCCACATGACCAGGGTCCTCCCACCTCCTCCCTGAGAGGCCTGAAATCAGGGCACTGCCTGGCCACCCTGGCCCTGGGTGAGGGCACAGCTGCCAGCAGCCCACCCTATACCAAGGCTGGGGCGGGTGCATGAGGCCCGAGGCTCTGTCGTCGTCACCCAGTGTGACGCTGGGACCCAGGATGCTCTCGATGGATACTGGAAGAATGGACAATGAGGACAGACCCCTGGGGGACCCAGGCAGAGCTCCCAATCTCAGGGTGCGGCCCCTTCTTGCACCAAGGGTCCTCCAGCAAGGGCATCGACACAAGCAAGCCCTGTGGAGGACAGGCTGTGTGGCCCCAGGGTGGTGGCTGCACATCTCTGAGCCGGGCAGCCTGGATACAGGATGGCTGGGATGCCCCTTCATGGGGTAGGTGTGGCAGAGCAGGCTCATGTCTGCACACCAGGCAGGCCACCCGAGGTCACCACCTCCACCGCTACCCTGCACTGGGGCCTAAAGCAAGCGGCCTGGGTGAGAGGCTGGGCCAGGGCCCCTCAGCATGTGTGCTGAGTGGGGAGATGGCTGACAGCTGTTGTCCTCTGGCTGCCTTAGGCCTGGGCATCCCCACTAAGGAGAGACTGCCCACTGTGTCCCCAGCATCACTAAGTGGGGTGGCCCACTGTGTACATGTCAGTGGCCCCTCCAAAGAGGAGTGTGCCCAGTGGTGGCTCCCGTCCAGGGACTGACGGCCAGAGGTACCGAGCGGAGCAAAGCACCCCGCAGCACGGCCCACCCTCACTGTGCCTGGCTTACGTCATTTTTGTTGAAATACTTCAGGGCCCCTTCTCGCTCCGTCAGCACAAACTTCCGGCTTAAAAACTGCCCGTTGTCTCGGCCTCGCTTCCAGAGAAGGCCCTCCCGGTACCCTGAGAGAGTGGACATGGTGTCAGAGGGTTGGGGGGCCAGAGCCCAGCTTGAGGAGGAGACAGGGGCCCTCTGCCAGCTGGTGGGCTGAGCAGTGACAGCAGGGCAGGGCCGCCCGCTGCTGTGACCTCCCTCGGGTGCCAGACCAGCTGCTCCCTCCCACCGGCAGCAGGAGACTCTGCAGACACAGGAGGAGGGACAGGAGGTGCTCCAGCTCACCCAAGAAAAACAGAGGGGCCAGCCCCCCACTTCTGTTCCCTGCCACCCCGTGGTGTCCCCAGGCCTCCTCCCACACCCTATCCAGCCCTCGGCCCTGTGGGCCTGGTGGGACGGGAAGGGGTCTCCATGGGAGTCCTCATGTCTGCCCTGCTGGACCCTGCGCTGTGGTCTTTCCACTTCCCTCACTCCTGGTCAGAGCCACAGTCCCACTGCCCACGAGGTGCCACTGAGGGATGTGGGGAGACCTGGGCCTGTGTCACCATCACTGCCCGGCAGCCACAGAGCCACGTTTCAGGTGCCACATGGCCCTGATGCCAGAGAGCAGATGCTATTTTCTCTGCTGACACATGGCCATGCAGAGGTGGCAGCTGGGGGTCGGAGGGAGCAGCTGGCACCCTGAGGGCCAGCCCTTGCCTATCTCAGAACATAGTCAGACACAGCCCGCAAGGGATCTGGCACCATGGAAGCCTGTGGAGAGGATGACATGCTCCTGTACCCCTCCTCCCCCAGCCCACCAAGTGTCCTGGAGTCCAAGTTGGGCCAACTCGGAATGTTTGTTGACTGACTAAATGAGCACCACGCTCAGGCAAGGCTGAGAAGCCCAGTTGGCTCCTTCAGAGTCAGGACCAGCCATTTGGGGCAGTACTTAGCTGGCTGTGTATTAACAGTAGGGAGTTTGGGGGTAACAATGGCAGGGCCTGGAAGACACCTGACATATTACCTCATGACCAGAACCTCCGAGGCACATCCTGTTGTAAATGACCCATCCTACAGATAAAGGAACTGAGGGCACAGACCGGAGGAACTAGTCCATGGTCCCCTCAGCTTCCAGCCCACCAGGCGGGCACTCAAGCCTGGTAAAGGCCAGGCCCCTTGCCCTGCTACACCCATAGTGCCCAGCAGGTGGCGGTAGCACCTCAGGGAGCAAGCAGGTGCAGGGCTGGGTCTGGGCTCAGACTGCCACTATCCCCTGCCACCCGCAAGGGGCTCTGTGTGTGTGGGTGCTCTGAAGATCCTCAGGTCCAGACTCGGCTGGAGGCCGCAGGACAGAAGGCGCCGGCCACCCGTCTGCCCTTCCTGACAGCCAGCCGCCAGGAGCCTCAATTCAGCACTGTGACAGCAACTCATGTGGTATTTTTGGAAGGTACTGGCCATGGTCCCTGGCTGGGCCCCGCCCTGGTGTCCAAACCTCTCAGAGTCTCAGACTCCTTGGTGACAGCGAGTATGGATGGCCTGGGGCTAAAAGGCATGGTCAGCTGGGCATGGCCACACTTGGGTCCCCACACCCCTAATCCCCGTGCCTGCTGACGCCTGGCCGGCCCAGGGCAGGGGCCAAACACTTCTCTCAGCAGGGACTGGGCCCTTATAGTGTTCTGGGCCCAGGGCCACTTTCTGGGGAGTGGGGCCCCACACTACAAGCGGCTGCTCCGCAGGAGAGGTGGGAACAGCCCCACGATCCCTGCGTCATCAGTCATGACAAAGCGCCACCCTGCACCGGGACAGCAGGTCACTCCAGGCCACAGGCCCAGGTCACCCACATAACCTTCCTGCGGGGCTTTGGGGATGAAAGGGCACAGTGTCCTCGAAGGCAGGCTGATTGTTTCTTCTTCTTTCTTGGCAGTACTGAAGATTGAACCCAGACCTTCACACTGAGCTACATCCTCAGCCTTTTTTACTTTTTATTTTGAGACAGTCTTACTAAGTATCTAAGTTGCCCTGACTGGATTTGAACTCAAGATCCTCCTGCCTCGGAGCCCTGAGTGCTGAGACTGCAAACCTGTGTCATCAGGCCGGGCTCAGGCTGGTGGTGTCGTACACAAACACAAGCTTACTGGGAAAATCCCAGGCGGGAAGACCACCCTCACACAGTGGCTGCACACTAGTGTAGGGACTTCACTCTTGATCTGCGCAAGATGGAAACGACCTCATGTCCCTCAGCTGGGAAACAGATACCAAGTAGCACCCACATGCCATAGAGAGCACCCTGCAGCCCAACCTGGGGAGGGCCCTGCAGGGTTTGTGGGAAACTCTAGGGTTCTGTGTCTTCAACTGTCTCAGCTCCCAGAACTATACTCTAAATAGGATATGCAAAGTATATGTAAATCATGGCCATGTATATAAATTGCATATTATATTTTAGAAACCAAGGCAGGGAACCACACAGTCTGGCTCAGAGAGTAAGAGTGAGGCCGGCCATGTGTGGTGAGGGGCCTCCAGCCCCCCCGACCCTCCTGCTGTGGGCTGCCCCTGAGGAGAGTGGCCATAGTGGCCTGGGGAGGCCCCATCCCCCTAACCTGGCCTCTGGCTTCCTGCCGGACCTCAGATCAAGCCAGAGCCTGTGGCTGCGGCCGTGCCTCAAGGGCTCCCAGAGCCCCGGGCTGAGTCTGCGAGCCTGCTGCTGGCTCTGCCTCTCCCTGCCGCTGCCCAGCCACCCGGGCTCGTTCCTGCCGCCTGAGGCAGGGCCTCGGGGCCCCTTCCACGTGCCCCGGAGGATGCTAAGACCAGGGACCCACCCCCTTCGGAGGATAGGGGCGGCTACGCCACTGGCCTGCTGGGATCTGGCAGTGAGAATTAAGTTCCGGGGAGAACAGGGCCGTGTAAATGCAGCTTCGTGGCAGGCCGTCCTCTGAGCTGACTGTCCACGCAGATGTCTCCCTAGCGCACGGCCCTGCCTCACAGACTGCCTGGCTCTGCAGAGTCACACAGCAGGTACAGAGCCAGGAGCTCACAGCTAGCCCGCAGCCCCCACCGCCACCTCGTCCTGGCGCTAGCCCTCCCCGGGCATCAGGCCTCTCTGCTACCAGCCAGAGCCGAGCAGAGGACTGGATGGTCCTCTGGGCCAGCAAGATCCTGGACGTGTCCACTGTGCTAGCACCTCACAGGCCCATGGCCCAGGCCCTCTGGGCACTGCCCACTCTTCCCCAGTGCTCAGGAACAGTGGGACTGGTATGGGCCCCAACCCCAGGCTGCCTGGCTGCAACACCCCCTTTCCCCTCAACACAGCTGGGGAAGCTGAAGGCAGGGCGGGGCCCTGTCCCTTGCCCAGGGAGCCACAGCCCCACCCTACCACCCCGTTTGCCCTGTGACATGCAGGACAAAGGTTGGGGGAGGCGGCCATCTTGGGACATCCCGGCCTGGCACAACCAGGCAACTGGGGAGGGCCATGGTCAGCCAAGGGGAGGGAGAGGCAGAGAGGGGGCCAGAAGGGGGCACCCTAAGGACCTGGCCAAACTGTGGGCAGGAAGCCATGCCTGTCCCTTGACAGCACGGGCATTGTCTGGCCCGTGAAAGGCCACCATTGAGGCCCAGCAGAGGCAAGGAGGCCTGGGGAGGGAGTAGGGCTCTGTCACAGGGTCAGCCCCAAAAGCGGGGCCTGGGAGGGGCAGGCAAGGACCCCACTCCACCCCTACATCTCCAACTGCTGGGAGAGCGTTGTGTGCCTCCCACAGAGCCCCAATCTTGGCCTGCAACGTCCAGATGCAGCAGCGTGGGCACCAGCCTGCCACCATCCTGCCAGGTCTGAAAATTGCATGGGGACAGAAACCTTTTGGGCTTTAGAACCCCCAGATCTACCATGGGGTCCAGTCCACTCTCAGAGCCACCCATCAATTGCTCCCTCAGTCCAGGCCAGGAAAGGGCAGCCCCTTCCTGGGCACAGTCCCTTCCCAGTGCCCTGGGGACAGAGGTCTCGTTCCCAGCAGCCCCTGTGGCTGCCAGCGTGTGGGAGACTGCATGGGCTACCAACGCCTGCTTGACTCCTTGCTGAGGGCCTGTCTCCTCCTCCCCCCCCCAACCCCACACAGTGCTGGTCTCCCTAGAAACAGAATGTCCCCGCCCCATCTGCGGGCATGGTGTGCTCAGGTCCCAGGTTTGCCCAGCATTCTGTCCCTATGGTGGGGACAACAGCCTGACACTTCTAGAGTGCTGGTGGCTACAGGCCGTAGAGACCTCCAGCCTGGAGCAGACGCTTGGTTTCCAGCTCCACGGGGCTCCATTGGTAGGAGAGGTCCAGCTGTAGACATGCAGGGTAGGGGATAAGGATGCAAAGTTGGTGGCAGCTAGTATGCCGGGACCCCACTGTCTCCCCCCAGGGCAAGACAGTCCTGTTTGATCTTCTTTCGAGCCACTTTTAGACTTGAAGGAGAGTTGCAAAAATAGCACATGCCGCAGTATGGACAAACATCATCTTCCATGACAGAAGCCAGAAGCAGAGGCCCTTGCTGCCTGCCTCCATCACAAAGCATCCAGAGCAACCATCTGTGGGTCTCCGCCGGGCTGCGAAAGCCGATCACCACTCAGCATGCTGGACGCTTGGGGGGGGTACTGCAGTGAGTGACTTCGTGACACTGTCACCACCAGGTCCAGGACCACAGTGGGAAGGAAACTGAAGCTCCCTCATGGAAGATCACCCCTCTCCAGAGTGTTCACCAGCCTGGTGTCTCTGTCATGACCTGGGTTTCATGGCCTGGTTGCGTGGAGAGCGGGTCTGTCACCAGGTCAGCACCACTCCTCCCGGCGGGGGTGGTGGATGAGGGCCTGCATTTCTGGCAAGAACTTTGCAGCAGTGTGGGTCTCCCTGCACCAGGCCAGGTGCCCATGCTGCTGACGTACAGTGAGGGACATCCTGGGACTCCTCCAACCTGATGTCACCATCAGCCTCTTGGGAAGTCGCTCTGGGCCAGACTGGCAGCTGTTCCTCCATAGCCAAGCGCAGGTCTGGAGCCAGCCCGTGCACAGGCACTGTCCCCTGCCTCGGGTGACGTCTGCCCCCTCGTCTCTTTGCGCTTAGCTCTGGAACCCTCCGGAAGGAGCAGCTATCCCTCTGTTCCCTTGTTCAGTCTCTTCTCAGGTCGGCGTAGACACTGGACACTTATTCTCAGAGTATTCCTCCTGTTCAAATCACTCCAGCTTCAGCCACCAGGTGCTCCTGCCTCCTGGGCCCAGAGACAGGGGCTCCCAGCCACTGCTCTGCTGGTCAAGGTTGCCGAGCATGTGGCACAGCCAGGCACCCTTGTCCTGCTGCACCCTGCAGGGTGGCCAGGGTCCCAGCCTATGACAACACCCCGCTCCCAGCCCAATCGCACCGTGTGGGGCTCCTGGTCCTGCAGCCCCGGGTTTTGGCTCACTCCAGCCCAGGCCTGAGGCCACTCTTCCTGCAGTCCAGGCCTTGCCTCCTTTGGGGCTGCCTTTCCTAACCCCTGCACTTCCTCTTTCTTCACTCGGGACTTCTGCTTTTCACAGCAGCAGGCAGGGCAGGGCATCACTGCACTGCGTGAGAAAGTGCGCTGCAGCACATGCAGGTTGGCCGCCACGGGAATCCCCGGGCCGAGGCCTCGACTCCACGACCCCATGTGGGAGCCTGCTCCTCAGGGGTGGGGCATCGTCACCTGATGCATCCATCAGGGCCTGGACGGCCGGGATCTGTGCGCAGGGGCACTGGGCAGGCTGGGCAGTGGCATGTCAGGGAGAGACAGCCGCGGGCCCGTGCTGGCTCTGTTCCTGGGAGACAGTCAGGGAGGTCTTCCAGGGCTCTGTCCCCCATGCAGGGAAAGTTACCTGCTTGCTGGTCACTGGGCACGACTTCCCTGAGTCCAGCTTCCCCGCCAGCAAGGCCAGGCAGAGCTGCCCCAGGCCCTGTTGTTTTCTGGGGCTACCACAAGGGCATGCGGGGGCAGTGGGTGCACACATGGCCAGCAGCTCCAACTCCTCCAGCTCCCCAGGGTGGGGAGAGTGATATGTCTGAGAGTGGTTTGATGAAGGCCGGGGTCTTGAGCACACCCAAGATTCTGCTCCTGTAAGTCCAGGGTATGGCTGGGAAGCACAGCCTGTGTGGCTGGGGCAGAAGGAAATGAATCCGAAAGCTTCCCTGAGGGTCGCTGTTTGGAGTCTGGGACCCGCACTGTGCAGGTGCCTTCGGGGCCCAGCGGCCACTCCCCTCTGATGGAAGCAGAGGTGGGGGCTTGGGGTCTTCCTCAGGGGACTGATGGGCGAGCCTGGATTGCAGAGGCTCCCAGGAAGAGCAGGAGGCCAAGGGAAGGGATTCAGGCTCCCAAATGCCAGCCCGGTCATTTCTCCTTTGGGGAAGCCGGAGCTGGCCACCACCCCACGCTGACTCAGGCCCCCAACGTGGGGAGGTGGCTACCTGGGATAGGAGGCCACAGCGGGACTGGGGGTCTCACTCCAGCTCGCTGCTCCCCAGGATCCTCCTTGGAGTCAGAGCACATGAGGTTCTGAAGGAGCCACAGACACGGCCCCCTCTGGATGGGCCACCTGCCCTCTTCCCTGCGCACCCCCAGAGCCTCATCCCCAGGCATATTTCTCTGCGGCTCCCAGCCGACCACCCTCCTCCCCTGCCTGGTCTGTGTCTGGGGAGGGACGCTGCCTGGGTGAGCAGCCCTCGCCCACCTGGCCGTATTCTGTGTGAGGGGTGCACTATGCCGGCTCACACTGCCCAATGCATGCTGAGACGGGGGCTGTGGGCGGGCTGCTCCCGTAGGCGCCTCCCTCCTGAGCCCTGTGGCCACGCTGCCTCACCATCCACGGTGACCCCACCCACTGCTTACTCCAGCCCTAACGTGCACTCCGGGCTCTCTGAACCTCAGCCTGGGGTACGGGGATTGCACCCACACACTGTCCCCCCACTAAGCCACACCAGCTACCCCCTTATTTTTTTTGACAAGGTCTCCCTACATTGCCCAGGCTGGCCTGGAACTCACAATCCTCCTGCCTCGGTCTCCCGAGGAGCTGGGACTACAGGCCTGTGTCACCAGGACCTGTGGTCACAGGAGTCTGAAGGGGAATCTCAGGCCGGGGGAGGCGACCTCAGGCTCACCGTGGAGTCAATAACCCCCACCCCCATGCTGACTCGAGAGCCCAGCCCTGTGCAACCTCGGCCTGAGCTGACCCTGGACACCAGCAGAGTACGCCGCTCTCCAGCCGGCGGGGGCCCTTTCCGGAACTCGGACCCGGCTCTTCTCAAGAGGACCATCTAGGGCAAGGTAGGCATGTGACCCATGGCACCCCGTCATCCCAGTCACAGGGACAGGGTCACACACACAGCCAACCCATTCCTGGCATTCTGGGCATCCTGCTACCCCATCCTCACAGCTGGCATGAGAGTGGTGCAGACTCTGGGCCTGCTGGAGCTAAGCGGCCCCTGGTAGGGGTGGCACCACCCAGAAAAGCAGAACTGGAAGGTGGGGGTGCTGGAAACCACGTCCCAACCATACCACTTGATCAAGCCATGCCTGAGTGAGACCCAGTTCTCCAAGCAGATCCATTTCTGTTTCGCTCACTGACAGCTAAGTTGAGTTTTCATCCCTTACAACCAGGGGCCTCAGTGCGGGAACAGACACTACACTCGGCCAGCACCGCCTCTGACACAAGCCCATGCCCCTTCTGGTTATGGACTGACGGCGGGGCTCCAGGCAGGTGATTTCCCGAGTCCCCAGAGCAAGTGGTGGGGTTGTGGCAGGGCATCAGGGGCACACAGGCCCTGTGTGCTCTTTCCAATTCCCCCCTGCACAGAGAGCAGGGCCGTGGGGAGAGGGAGCCCATGTCTGTCCTCTCAGCCTTCAAGAGAAATCACTGTCCCGGGTGAGATCCCCAAAGACCTTTTTAGGGCAGCTGACTCGTGCTACTTTTTCCTATGTCCCCTGCAGTGCAGCCAGCGCCTCTGTCTAGTCCAGAACATCCTTGTCACCCACAAGGGACCTGGCATCTCCCCTGCGCCCACCACTACTGCTGTTTCCTGCCTTGGTCCGACTTGCCCTGGGCTCTTTGTGGAAACAAAACCGCAGCGTGTGGCCTTCTGGCTGCTCTGGCTCAGTGTCCCTGCTGCGGCGTATGCTGGCCCTGTCTCCTCCGCCTGCCTGAGCATCACTCCTTGCTGGTGATGGGCACTGGATGGCACTGACATTGGGGTACCGGAGTCTGCACGGCCTGTTGTGTCTCTCAGGCAGGTGCTGAGGAGCAGGCCCAGCCATCTCCACCCAAAGCCAGAGGCCAGGAGGCCAGGCCGACAGCTCCCCACAGAAGGGACAGAGCCCAAAGCAGCACGGGCTCCTCTGTCCCATCTTCCCAAAATTCACCTGTGCCGACTTTACCAATGCTCAAAACCAGGCCCTGTCACTTCCTGGGCCTTGGCTTCCCCTTTTGAAGCTTGAGCTTGTTCCTGTACAGGTCTCAGGTGAGAGCCACGCTGGGGTGAAGCAGTGCCGAGGTTCACTGACCCAAGACTCCCCCAGCCTCGCCCGAGGGGACTTAAACTGGGCCTGCAAGAAGGCCCGGGATCTCAGCAGGCCCCAGGCTGAGGGTCCACAGGAGCAGGGCAGAGCGGCAGCCTCTGAGGCTTGAGTGCAGCCCCTGGGACTGGGCAGGATGGCCGCAGTACCGGCCAGGTGTGGCGGCCTCCTCGTGACTCTGGATGGTGAGGCCTCCCAAGCTCTGGGGAGGAGGAGACACTCGAGACCCTAGGTCCAGAGCTCCCCAGCCGAGCAGGCTGAGATCCACTGGGCACCAGGACCTTAATGAGATACAGGATGCATACAGGCCCGGGGCTACTGAGCACTGGGGGACTGAGGCTGAGGGTGGGGGCCCGGCCTCCATGGAACCCCAGGCAGCTCTGTGCCCTGAGATGTCTTCTCCACAGCTTCACAAAACTCCAGCACCCCAGGGGCCCCAGTGTACTCAACCAGCGGCTGCACCTCCTCATGGAAGGTTGCTGACCCTTTGTGCTCCCACCCAGGCCAGGAGCAGCCTCAGCCTGGGGCCACCGGCACCAGCAGGGAGGGGACTCAGCTCCAGGGGCATGGGGTGGGGTGGGGTGGTGCAGGGGGAGGATGAGTCAGGACACGCAGGCTCGGACCACAGGCCAGTGTCCCGGCTGACAGAGACGGACCCTCTGCGAGGGTGGGGACAGCACCCAGGCTCACCTGCAGAGTACGGCTCCTGCTTCTCAGGAAGGATGAACTCCTGCCGCTCGTACTTGGCGCGGACCCACTGCTCTCGCAGGAGCCTGTGGAGAGAGGAGGGTTTGGCTTCTCTCATGGAGCTACCCCGGCTCCTTCTCCAACTCTCGCCTCTCCCTGCCCCACAGGGCCTCCTGAGGACCCTCCCCCGCCCCGTGCAGTTCTTGGGGACGGTGTCACCATCTGAATCCAGCTTCGTCTCCTGCCTTCCCCACCCACTGCCCATCCTGGGCCTCAGCTTCCACCTTGGGCTTCCTCTCCCCAAGCGGGGCTGAGCATCCCACCCAGGGAGGTCCCCACGCCGTGACCTCAGCACCACAGCACCCCCCAGTCCACAATGTACCACAGCCCCACAACGCGCCCTCCAGACCCCCAGCTCCTGGCACTGGCCTCCAGCTTTCCCGGTGGGCAGCTGCCTCGCTCAGTCTCCCGCCCCTTCACCCTAGCGGGCCACCCCGGGGGTGGGTGCAGTGCAGGCTGCACTTCCCCCGAGCCTGCTGGTCAGACCTGGGAATGTCCCGGCGCTCATGCCAAAGGGGGCTCTCTGAACCCAAAGTCACCCCAACCCTGGGGCCCCAGGAAGAAGTACTGGGTGAACACACTGCAGCCTAGGCTTTGTCCCCAGGGCCACCGTGGCCTCACTGCTCCTGACACACATGAAGTCAGACCACCATCACCGCGGACAGCGCGGCTGCCTCGGAGAAGGCCCTCTGTGGCCACATGTGGGTTCTCAGCTAGGGCTTTTCTCTCCCTGGTCAACTACGCATAACGGCTTGAATAGGGAGCCCCTGGCTGTGCACCAGGCCTGTGTGGTTGGCCTCAAAGCACGGACACAACCCAGGTTTGTGAGAACCCCGGGGTCCTTCGGCTGGGCCTCAAGGGGTGGGGATGAAGGCCCTACAAATCCTTCCAGTGGGAAGCTTGAGGTGACAGAGATGTACGCTGCCCTGTCTGGAGGTTGAGTTGGGGTGAGGGGTCAGGCCAGCTCTCTGGAGAGTCTCCGGGAGACACCGGCGGCCACTCCATTGTTGAGGGCTCTCCCTGCCTGAGTCATCGTGTTTCCCATCCTGCCCTGTGTCCTCAGTGTCCCCTCCTCTCTTATGAAATCACCAGCTTGCGGGGAGGGGCACCCTGTTTCAAGACGACTGCTCCTCAGCCTGGTGATCACACTGCAGACTCTGCCTCACAGCAGAGCCTGAAGCTCAACACCACACCCCAGGTCCTATCTGCAACCTGGATATAAGACACCCGGCCCCTTGGAGCCACAGGGTCCCAAGGCATATGGGGTGCAGTCCACACACAGCTGCCCTGGGTCTCCAGGCTCACCCCTGATACGGCCAGGTGGCTGTGTGTCCTACCTCAGCCTGGATCCTACCCTGACCCTGAGGCCCCCTGCATCAGGAAGGCCATGCTGATGGGCACCCCTTACGCCTCCACAGCCAGCACCCTCTGAGATGGTGAGGAAGTGGGCATAGTGTACCAGGGGCCAGGATGTAAACCTGTCTGAAGGCCCCAAAGCCCCTTGCCCAGCCACTCCCTGGGGCCCATCCATATCCTGAGAATCAGGTAGCCAGGCCACACCTCCCCACCCCCGTGAGCTGGGGGACAGAGAGTTGGGCAGGTGCTTGTCGAGACCACATCTTTAGGGTCAGGTATCCCCCAGAACTCACCCGCCACCACTGCCCCCAGGAGGCCTCGAGAGACCTTCCTCACGTGCCCAGCGCTGGCCCCACCTGGCTCCACACCCGCTGGCTCATGCACATCTCGGCCTCTGGGCCCGTGGGAAGGGGCAGCACCCCGCTTTCCTCATGAACATCAGCTCCCCTCTGCTGGCTTCTGCCACAGGACATTGTTACAGGAGACAGGAAGGCCAGGCTTTGCCTCTTAAAAAACTAACTTCACGTCAGCACTCTGGCTGCTAAGACAGGAGGATCGCAAGTTCAAGCCCAACTTGGGCAACTGAGCAACTTAGCAAGAATCTGTCTCAAAACAAAAAATAAAAAAGGGCTGGAAGGGGCTGGGGATTTAGCTCAGTGGCACAGCGCCTGCCTGGCAAGCGCGAGGTCGTGAGTTCGAGTCCTGGTACCGGGGGGGGGGGGGGAGTCTAGAAAAGGGCTGGAGATGTAGCTCAGTGCAAAGGCTCTGGGTTCAATTCTTAGTAGCACACACCCACAAAAAAAAAAAAAAAAGAAAGAAAAAGAAAAGAAAAAAGAAAAGCTAGGGAAGAAGGGAGAGAAAATGAAAAGAAGAAAGAATGAAGCCTGCACACCCTTCTACTCCGTGGGAACCCCACCGAGGTGGTGTCTGTTTTTCCCTTTATTTTGGGAAAGCATAACCCTGCAGCCTCCATCTCCACCACCCCAGGTCCCCTGCCCTGTCACCCAGGGGACCCCTGGGGCTGCTATGGTCGGAATCCTGTGCTATGGTCGGAATCCTTCCCCAAGTCCTGAATAGGAGCCCAGGACCTCAGAGTGTGGCCTTGTTGGGAAGCGGGAGATGGCAGACTCCATGGCTGCAGACACAGTCGGCCCGCTGCTGTGGACCACCAGGCCTGTATGACCAGTGCTCTCACAAATGGGAAGAAAGGGCCAGATGCGCAGAGAGGGCTCTGTGAGCACACAGCCGAGGTGGCCGTCTCGAGCCGGGGCCTCAGGAGCGGCCGGCCTGGCCCAGCCTGACCAGGACTGCAAGTTCCTGGTCTGTGGGGAAAATTCCTGCTGGGCTCATTCCTGTAGCTCAGTTTGTGGTGCTTTGGGATGGTGGCCCCAGAAAGCTGGTACTGACGCTGTCCAGTCCCACAAGACACCCATCCACCTATGGGGGCGTCAGGGGCCCACCTCCCAGGGCTGCACCCCACAGGAAGCAGGTGCGCTCCACCCAGAAGCCACGTTGAGCAGAGCTGTGCTGGGAAGTTCTCTGCTGCGTGGAGACAGAAACCCGAGGGGCAGAGCCACACAGGAAGAGCCTAGGGCTGGTATTGCAGAGTCTTGGCCTTCCTGTTGCTAAGGGTTATATGGAGTGAGGACACCACCCACACTACCACCTCACCCCCACCCCCACCGAGCTTCCGAAGGGTGGGAGGGCTATTCCACAGAGCCCTTAAGACTGCCCTATAGCAGCCCCATCCTTCCCATCCTTTTTTTTTTTTTTTGGAGACAGGGTCTCGCTATGCAGTTCAGGATGGCCTTGAGCTCACTTTGTACCCAGGCTGGTCTCGAACTCACAATGATCCTCCTGCCTCAGCCTCCCGAGTGCTGGGATTGCAGGCATGCACCAGCACGCCCAGCAGCTTCCCATCTTAAACTGGGGAAACTGAGGCCTCAGGCGGCACACACAGCACCAGTCCTGCATGGAGCATGCTCCACAGACCCTAGAAAGCAGGGTATAGGGGCTGGAACCAGGGCTTCTCAGAACTAGCTCTTCTCTGGGGATCAACAAAGACGCCACCTGTCACTGGTGGGCCCGCTTCTCTGACCTAGGCCTGGTGGGCCCTGGGCTCCAGCAGAGAGAGGAGGGCCCCTGGGACCTCCCCAGCCCCCAGCAGGCTGGCAGGGAACAGGCCACCTGGGGCCTTCTGCCTGGCACAGCACCCTTCTCACCAAGCCCTCTGTGGCCACAGCATAAGGCTGGACGGAGGACATAACTGCCAGAGCTGCTGCCATATGCATCCTGCCCTGCGCAGACCACAGCTGTGGGGGACGACACAGCCGTGTCCTGGCAGGGCCCTCCCTGTGGGCCTGCTCTGGGCATTGGCTCTGAGCAGGTCCCCATGCTGGGGGCCAGCAGCTTCTTCCCCGGTCATCTACCCTGCCCCACCGTCCCTCAGCTCTCTACGGTGTGCACAGCAGCCGCACTCCTGCTTTCCACAGTTCCTTGTGACCGCGGAGTCGCAGGACTCCCTCCCTCCTACAGTTCTCTGTGGCCAAACATTCCCACCACCGTGTGCGCTCTGCAGTTTCCACAGCATGACTGTCCTCCATCTCCTAGCATTGCGCAGAACCCACAGCTTACGCATAACTCACACTGCGAGGGCTCTGTCCTGCTCGGGCCGGGAAGTACGGGGAGCACTCACGCAGCTACCGGCCGCAGAGTGGCCTGCGGGGTGGTGACAAAATCATGCCCCAAAATAGCTGTGCAGCCATGCAGCCGGCACCCTGACTCATACTGAGAACTGCACCAGAGGCCTGGGGGTGGAAGGCTGGGGGTGCTGGCCCCGGGGCTTAGGATGGGGCCCTGACGATGTGGGCGGCCAGGTGAGGGGGGCACTCAGGTGAGGGGGCACTCAGAGGTGGGGTGTAAGCCGGGGTCTCAGCCTCCCCTCCCATGAAGCTGGGCCGGCTGGACCCGCGCCTCAGCTCCAGAAAGGCTTCCCAAAGATGCCTGCCAAGAGCCTGGCAGGGCCTGGCACATGGTGACCACCATCAGTAAGGACCAAACATGCAGCCAGGGAACCAAACAAGGTCATGGGCCACACCCAGCCCCTCTCTGGTGCGGAGGCCTCACCCTTCAGGCTCCCTGCAGACCAGTGACGGCCCCCTGCTGGCCAGCCCTGCTCAGGGAGTTCACATCCTGGGGACCTAGCGGCAGATATGAGATCCTGCTCTAACATGGTGTCGGTGGACACAGTACTACACCCATGGGGACAAGTACGCAGTGGACACAGTACCCAGCGGGGTGAAGTTCTGTGCCTAGCCAGACATAGTACCAAGCAAACACGATACCATACCCAGAGGGAACAGTACCCATTAGACTCAGTAATACACCCAGCAAGTCAGAGTACTATACCCAGAGAAACATAGTACCCAGCGGATACTGTACCCGAGGACACAGTACCCAGTGGACACAGTACCCAGCAGGACACAGTATCCAACAGACTCAGTACTGAACCTACCCTGGTTCCACAGCTATCGCTGTGGGTGGGGTCCCAAAGAGCTTGGGGGTCACACAGTGAGTCAACCAAGGAACTGCGCTGAACATACACAGGCTGGGTAGGGCCTGGGTGTGGGTGGAAGCTGTGCCTGGGAAGGAGGTGCTGGGGCCTTGGAGAGTAGGTGCTGGAGGCCTCTCACCTGCACCTGGAGGGGTATCCAGTTCTTACCCCACTTCCAAGAAAGGGAAAGATCAGGAAGGTCATGGAACCCACTCCATGGCTGAGGGTCAGGCCTCTGCCTGCCAAGTGCCCTCGGGCCCCGTCTGGGTGGCCCATGCGTGGCCACAGAGTATGGACCTCAGACTGGGGTCCCACGTCCTCTGGAAAGTGCTCAGCCCCTCTGGGGCCTGGGAGCGCCACGTCACGAGGGCTGGGCTAAGTGGCCAGGGCCTGCAAGCCCATGCTTTGGCTAAGCAGCAGGGGATGCTGGCCAAATGGGGAGGGGCTCTGGTCAGTCCCAGGGACCCCTGCTTTGGGAAGACAGTGGGACATGAGTGTCTGCTGGGGACAGCTGGGGAGGGCAGGGACAGGCTGGGCAAGGAGATATAGATAGAAGAGGAGAGAAGCCATTGAGTGATGAGGAGAGAGAGCCCAGGAAGGATGTCAGGATGGGAGGCCAGCCAGGAGCTGAAGCAGGAAGAGAGGAGGCCCAGTCCTAGTAGCAGCTATGGGTGTAGGAAGGGTCCTCAGAGAGCCCAGGCCAGTGAAGGATCAGGTGGCCCAGTGGCCATGTTCTCACCTGGTTCTGTGCCTGACACAGGTGGCTCCCATGGCAGCTGGAGTCCCGGCACCCTCACCCAACATCTCACCTGGGCAGCCAGAAGTCAGATATCCAAGGGCTCCCAGCCACAGGGAACAGCGATAGGAGAAGCCAACGAGGGGTGCAGTCAGGGAGGAAAGTCTAGGGGCCGGGGCCACATAGAGCCGGGCCAAGGGCAGAGCGGGGAGGTGTTCCAGGCGGGAGGGGCAGTCCGGCCAAGGATGGAGAACGCAGGAAGGCACAGAGAGTGTGAGAAAGAGGCGCCCCAGGCAGGCAGAGAGCTGAGGGCGGGAACCCAGGTTGTCCAGAGCCCTCACTCTCCCCTTGCCCTGTGTGGGTGACAGGCAGCCACAGCGCCATTGGAGCTATGCCGGTGTGGGCACCACGTCACAGCCCCGCTGGCTGGACAGATGGGGACACTGAGGATCAGGGAGTGGTCGAAGTTCCAAACTGGCCCTCACTGTCTCCTAGCAACCTCTGGGTGCCAAGGACACCAGACAGAGGGACCCAGGGGCACCCTCTGCAGAGCTAGGGGCCCATGTGCCCCTCCTCCTCGGCCACCAGGGGGCACCCAGGAGAACCCTGAGACTCCAGAGTCCCCCGGGGAGCCCTCTGGCATCTGCTAAACAGAATACACACAGCCCAAAGGCAGACGGAGGAGGCAGAGGTGGGTGGCATCCCAGGGCCACAGCTGCCCTCCCCAGGCTCTCCAGGCCACTGCCTCCGCCCACCTGGCTGTTCACAGTGACCCCACAAAGCCCCTCTGTACTCACTGGCAGTCGGAAGACGTGGGCCGGTAGTAGAAAGACGGCACTTTGGACTCAAATGTGGCCCTGGCAGCTTCATTCCCATGGGAGGCCATGAACTGCAAGAGAGGGGACTGGGTCAGAGTGCAGGGAGCCCCAGTTCCAGGGACAGTGTTGGTTGCTGCTGCGGCGGGGTGGTGGTGGTGGGTGGGTCAGGGCACTGAGGGCTGGGGCAGTGCTGGGAGGAACCCCCAGAGCCCTACTGTCCCCAGGCACCATTTCTGAGTGAGCAGGGAGGAGCGAGGCACACGGGAGGAGCTCCCTAAAGGGAGCCCCTCGTCCTGGAACAGCAGCGGCCGAGAGGAGAGCCCCCATGGATGCCACTGTGCTCTGCCCGACACCACCCGGGTTCTGCAGCCCAAGACTGCTTAGCATTGGTGTTCCGCTGGAGAGCCTGCCCCAGCCTGAGCCGCCCATCTCTGCCTCCCGGAGGCCGGGCGCATTCCCGTGTCCAAGCCCAGCCCAGGCAGCGGGCACATGGTAGGCACAGAGAGGGCCAGGAGACAGCCCCCAGACCCAGCCAGACATGGGGCCAGCAGTGAAAGCAGCAAGGGCGTGGAGGCCCATTGCAGAGGCCCTTGAGTCAGAGGGGCTGACCATGCCAAGGGGGCGGGCGGAGGGGACACAGCAGGCATGATCCCAAGGCTGCTGCATGCTGGAGACCCCAGCTTGGCTGGGTGAGGAGCTGGGCCAGGCCTGGACACACCCAAGGCCTTGCAAGCATGGCCAGGGAGCACCAGGCCTTATGCCGGCTGCCGTGGAGCCTGGGGTTGAGGCTGACAGAGGCCTTTCTCAAGAGACCCCTGCCAGGTTCACCCAAGAGAAATCCTTCCCCGCGGGATCACTATGCCCTGAGGGCATCGTGGTCATAAGGATCAGGGGCCGGAGAAGCCAAATGAAAGAAATCACATGCAGCAAGTCTGCCCAGGAGAGGGTGGTGCCAGACTGAATTCTGACACCCACAACTTTTCTATATGAAACCTCAGTCCTTTAGGGAGATGTAACAGATACCAGTGATTCCCACGCATGACAACTGGGCACAATACCTAAGATGCGGCCAAAGTCTCCGTGGAGAAGAATGTTGCAGGCTCCTAAAGGATGCAGAAGAAGCCCCCAACAAAGATGGAAAAGCACCACCTCTTTGTTAGTCTATATATTTTTCATAATTCACACACAAAAAAATAGCAATGGGACAAGAGGCATGGTGGTACACCTCTGTCATCCCAGCTACTCTGGAGGCTGAGGCAGGAAGATCTCAAGCTCAAGGCTACATAGCAAGACATGGGCTACATAGCAAGACCCTGTCTCAAAAAAAGAAACAAACAAAGAAAAACAAACAAAGAAAAAAAGAAAGTAAAGAAAAGATCCTCAACATCACTGCCTTCAGGGAACTGCAGATCACATAGTGGTGACCATCACTGTGGACCCACGAAGACAAAGAGAGCAGGGTGCAGAGGACACAGTCCTCGGGCCGCAGGGGCTACTGGTGACACAGACCCAGAGCAGCTTGAAAGTCAGAGAGTTGCAGGGTTCCCAGCAAGTCCGCTTCATCCCAGAGAGAGGAGACCCGTCACCAATGTCCATGGCAGCACTGCTCGACACAGTGAAATGGAAGCAGCGCAGCTTCTAGACATGGGGCATGCCTTACGGGGAGGAACACTGCCAGGACCCTCGCTGCGGGAGCCATCCAGAATGTAGGAAGCAGATTCCACGGGGTGGAGGTGTGGCAAGCGGGTGGCAGCTGGCCAGGAGGAGGAAAGTGTCAGGGTGGCGCCAGTCCACAGCGCAGTTTAAACTCTCCCGCTCCCCACTCCATGGGGAAACGGGGAGGTAAGTGAATAACATCTCAGCTGTTATTTAAAAAAAAAAAAGAGCCCATAGGCAGAGAGGGACCTAAGTGTGCTATACACCCAAAACCACAAAAGAAAAGGCTGATCCGTGTGACTAGGTCAATGTAAAAAAAACATTTCCATGGTAAAAACCACCATGAGCAAAACCGAAAGGCAACCCAGAAAAAAACTTTTTCCACAAATTTCTCAGAGGGGAAATTTCCCTGCTGTGTTGAGACCCTTGAGTAGCACAGACGAACAGATAAAGAAAATGTGTTCCATGTACCACACACTGCACAGCGGAGCATTGTTCAGCCTTCAGGAAGAACAAAACCCTGTCATCTGCAGGACAATGGGTGGATCTGGACACCATCACTGTTGAGCAAAATAAGCCAGACTCACACAGACAAATATCGCATGTGCTCCCCGATACGTGGACTCTAAAGAAACGACAAGAAAGTGGAAGGGAGGCTATTACTAGGCAAGAGAAAGGGAGTAAGAGGGACGGGGAGGGTGTAAGGGTGGGAAATGGGGGGTGGATACAGCAAATATATTTAACACACTCAGCCCCCAAGAAACTGTGAAACTGGGGGGAAGGCGGAACGAGGGGGTGAAAATGAGTGTGTTAGGGGGAAGTTCAAATGTGCCAAAATGAAACCCACTGATTGACTCAAGGAATGAAAAAAGGCTGGAAAGGGCGGGGAACATAGCTCAGCGGCACAGCACCTGCCGGGCAAGCGTGAGATCCTGAGTTCGATGCTTGGTACCAAAAAAAAAAAAAAAGACTGGAAAAAGAGAAAAGGAGGAAAGGAGAAGGGGGGAGGGAGAGAGAGAGGAGAGAGAGAGAGAGGAGAGAGAGAGAGAGAGGAGAGAGAGAG